AAGCGCACCGAGATAGAGTTGCACTCAATCAAAAATGAACAAAAGAACCCAATACTCTGGGTAATGCAACCCGATTACCTAATGTACTGACTAGACTTCCTGCAGGGATAAAGAGATTTGTTGGGTTGAAGGATAACTATGGTATTTATTCCCATCAACGTGCTGATAAATGGGTTGCTTTCCCCTGTTCAACTACAGACAAACACAATAAAGTGTGTATATCATTATATATAATTACATACATAATAAATCCACCTTATTAGGTACATTTATTTAACACCCATAAAAGCAGGCATGTCAAATCGCTTGAGCTCAAAACCTAGTTCCACTTTTGTAGTCATATTGGAGAAACCTCTATGTTTGTTATGTGTTCCCATTGACACCTACAGATAATTCAAAAAGATATAGTTCTTACCTTTCCAGTTGTTTCTTTGGAGCAGGTTTAGGGCTGATGCACACAGGAGCTGGGGGCAGCACAACATAAAATTCAGGCGTATTTCCCTGCCCAAGAGCCACCGGTATGCATGCATGTGTTCATGCAAGTACCAGCATATACCCATGCAGAGTTACATACAGCCATTGATTGCTATGGGCAGCTATGGGCAGTACCTGTGGTTTGCAGGTGCCCAAATTTCACGTTGTGTGGTCCCCAGGAAAATTATTACATGAACCCTTATACATAGAACTCTATACACAGCTTGTATTGTTCAGAAAAGCTTGGAGTGTACAATTAGGGCACAGGCTGAGGGACAATGTGCCACCCAAACCTTGAGACCTTAACCCTATGTTAGAACAGTCTCTGCCAGCACAGTACAGATAGGGTTAATTATGGTAAGCATAACTCCCCTGCCTCCTCCTTAGCATTACATAGAAGGGGAAAGCTAGGTATGATTTTAAAGTAAAAGAAAAGCAGCAATTTTTAAATATGTATATGGAAACATGCAACAAATATAAAGGTGCTATCCCAAATCAGTTGCAAAAGTGGAAATACACTTTAAAACAATTCCTAAAGCACTGACCTGCGCAATCTATCAAGTGTAGTCTTTATTGACTGGAGAACAGCTGGGGCCTTGTTCAATGTATATTCTAAATACATGGAGGGCCACAAAAATCAGTAAAGAACTAATGAACCTCTTTGACCATGACTGCATGCTTTATGTACAAAACATTGTCCGTGCAAACGCTATGCCCATTAAGCCGGTGATCTTTTATATACCTGTTGCTGTACACTTGCTGGCATCCCCTGAAGGCGTTGCCCTGATTCTGTAGGGGGAGTAAGGGATATCATCTCCTCCATACTTGACAGCCACTTGATAGCGTCCAGTTTTATCAGGAACGTAAGATACTGCGTATGTTCCATCCTTGTTGTCCAAGATTTGAGCCTTCTTTGGCTTGCCTTCTTGGTCCTAGCAATATAAATAATAATAGACTTATTCAAATAATCCAACTAGATTGCAATATAATAAGGTCAGAGCAGGGAATAATGAATCAGAATTGACATGTCACTCTGCTGCTAATAAAGGGCAACTCCACGCAAAATAAAATTCTGGTTGTTTGGTATACAATGGTAAACTGAATCTCTGGCAAACCAGACATCCTGGTGGTGGAATCTCCTCATTTCAGTTCCCAGATCTTTCCACCTTTCTCAGTCAAATGAGGGGGTTTCATTGTCAGTGTTGGCTTTCTTTTTTTTATTAATTCTGGGTTATAGAGAATACAGCTCCAGGAGTGAGACTGACTCGTTTGCAGTAGGAGGAGAATAGGCCACAAAAGTTCTCGCCATTTCAATAAGCTCATCATTTACCACACCAGCATCTACCAATGACTACAGTGTCAGATTTTAGTGGGCTGGCCCTTTAAAAAGTTCTGCACAAAGACTCTCATTGCACAGCGCTGCGCAACAAACAGTTAAGGAACAACACAAAACAAAACATTTCAAGTAAAGCAGACATCAATGGAAATTAAAGCTCCCTTGGAATCCAGAGAATGATCATCTTCGGTTACACGAGCGTGTTTTGAGCATTTGCCCAGAATGTCACACGTTGTCCATCCATCCAATTTTCTGGGAATATACCCCCCGGGTTCAGTTTTGTTCTCTTTAATCCCTAAACAAACACCAATGTTTTTCATGTCCTGTGATTTACACTTTGTAACTAACAAGAGGGAATCAAAGCAAATCCCTCACATCCTGTATTAACATCCACTCAGCACTGACATCCAGTTATTGTAGACATCTGCTTTATGGGGGAAATATGCAAAATGATATTTGTCTGAAACACAATGCACTATGAAAATGTATTCATATTTATCTAAACTGTTTTTTACATAATTCTAATTCTTTTTTGTGATTCACACCACAATACTATACGGCTATGTGGGTAACACCACTATGCAGATCCTGCAGCTTCCTGTGTCATGACCCCTCCTCTAGCCCTCCAACATCTCCACACTGATGACGATTACCCTGTTCAGTACCCATCCTGTATGCTCCTTGGCTCCATCTAGCAGCAGTAAATGACTAATAAGAAGGGCATTCACCCAGCTATATGCTGGTCGAAGCTTTTATACATCAGCCCCTTTAACTGTATGTTCTCTCGTGATACAATAACCCTGCATATATATTATTTTTAAAAATAGGATCAACCGATTTTTGAAACAGCGCAAGCAAACCCAACAATGCAGACAAATGCTCTTCGGAATGACAAATGACGACAGTGGGGGAGCTGCTACTACTGCACATGATATGTGGGATGATAATCCAGTTAAGTAACAAAACTGATCAGCTATATTACCAAAGGGTGGACTTTTCTAGGTTGATTAGGTTTATTTTCAGATATTGGCAAAGTAAGATATACGGAATCACAGTGGGTTCGTGGCCTGCCAATATGCCTTTCAGCATTAGGGTCCAGTGTTCAAATCCTAACCAGGACAGTGTCTGCATGAGGTTTGTATATTCTTCCTGTGTTTGTGTGGCTTACCTCTGGGCTCTCCCGTTTCCTTCCACACTCCAAAGACATGCTGATAGGTTAGTTGGCTCCTGTCTAAATTGGCCCTCATGTGTGTATGTATGTGGGATAGGGGCCTTAGATTTTAAGCTCCTTGAGGGCAGGGACTGATGTAAATGTACAATTTGTAAAGCACTGTGTGAATTGTCAGCACTATATAAATACTTGTTATAAATAATCAAAGCAGGCCAACAACAAAAACCAATAAATTTGACTTACAGTTATAAGGACAGAAAGATCACCTAATCCTGCATCCTTGGCATTGACTGCAAAGTCCACAGGAAGACTAGCCGGGACCCCTTGAGAGCTAAGCCCAGGACCGCTTGCCGTCACCTTGCTGGGATCATAGGTTGGTAGAACCTTTACCTTGTAAGGGCTGAACACATGCAAAAAAAAATTGGGAGTTACATAAAGCTCAAATAAAATGGTAAAAGAACATCTGTCTGCTCCAACAGAGACTTTCTCTTCTATGTAAGAAAATAAATACATTTCTCAAAAGGCACCTCTAAAAGCAGTGAAAGAAAAGATCTAAAGGTTTATATGAAAGGCTAGGTTTAGTTTTCTGACCATGTTTCATGTTACAACCATACTCGCACTGCCACCCCCCTACTTATCTGAATTGCTCAGTTCTTCTCTCTGCAGGCTGGTGTGGATTTTATAATTTGGCGCTGCTGGGCGGGGCTCCACCCACACCTCTGCGTCATCCATTCACAGAACCCGTTAAGGATCTGTGAAGTGAGAAACTACAAATGCCTGTCAGTCACAGCAGCAGAAGGACTTGCTGTTCGCAATGGAATACAAGTGTGGCGACATGTTACTGAATGTCTGTAATGAGGTACAGACATGGATGGGAGGAAGAGTCTGCAGTAGCCAGAACAATGCACCCGCGATACACTGATCGTGGCTGCAATGCTTTACTGGCTCAAATGCTAAAAAACAAAGGAAAATGCTAATTTCTTTCTTCTATGCAGTTCATTATTTTTTGGGTGGACAATGATTCTACTAATATTTTACCAACATGGTAACACAGAAACTGTATATTCTAGTCTTCCATAGTATACAGTATTAGAAATTCACCACTAGAATTGTCCACTATCCATGCTGTCAATATATACATGTATACAAAGGGAAAAAGCACCACTCAGCTCTGTGATTAGTGGGAAACATTTCACTTATGATGACACTGCAAATAATATGAAGTCAAAGCAACACAAATATTATAGTCAAGCCAAATCCTATAAATCAGACATCCTATTACTTCTTGTTCACATTTCTGGTTTATTAGAGTTGATTAGTTTTTTGTTTGAACTTGCATTTATTGATATGTATATCTCTGTTATTAGCATTGTTAAAATAGAACTCTAACCAAAACATTTTCTTTACCCATTTTGAATAGAGTAAGGATTGTTATTGCTGTCTGTGAAGATTTCTCTTAACTTTCTGTTCCGTCACCTAGACAGGACTTGAGGAAAATCTCCCTTGAAGAGACCCTGCAAGCATTTTACAGTGGAAAAGGGTTACAGTCTCAGTCTAGCCTTTCCCCAAGTGGTGGAAAAGGGAGGGGACCAAGCAATAAAAACAGATGTATCAGCCAAGCCAATTTCATTTTCTTTTCATGTCACCTACACTAGTACCCCACAACCACAGATCAGAATTCCTATCCCAGCTAACAATATACTAGCAATGGTGGTATGTACAGATTGGTGATTTATTATATGTACAACAAGGACAAGGTGCAAATTCCTCTATTCTGGATCTAAATCCAATTCTGACTTTCTGGGTCTGTGTTCCTCTAAGCACTGGACCCACAGTCAAACCTGTTCTAATCTGGGTGGTGAGCTGATTTGTTGCAGATATGGCAAATCTAACTTAAAAGTATTTCTTTATGGATTTGGCAAATTAGCATTTGCATATTCAGAAGAATCATGATTGGCTAAATCAGTAGAAAATAGTAATAAATATAAATATATATATATATATTCATATACACACACACACCTAATCTACATAATGTATTAACACATACTGCCATCTACAGACTGCAGTGGCATATGCAAGCAGATGCCACTTCTGAATGAAGTTTCCAGCTTGCATGAGAACACTATAACATGGCCGCCATGTGCGATTGCATCATTGGAAACCACTCTGATTGGTTCCTGATCATTAGAGGAAACTGAAGCGGTCACTGACAGCCAGGTTTGACAGCTAGCAGCAGCACAAAGTGTCAGCTGTTAGCTGTCAAAAGGATGACATCTATTAATGTTTTCTTAACACAGGGCATTGTGTTCAGAATGTTGATATACCGTATTTTTCGCTCCATAAGACGCACTTTTTTCCCCCCAAAAGGAGGGGGAAAATGTGCCTGCGTCTTATAGAGCGAATCCCGACGCCCGAGACATGCAGTTTCGAGGCGCCGGGCGAGTAGTAGGAGCCACTGCTCGTTTAATACGAGTGATCTAATGAGATCACTCGTATTAAAACCGAGCAGTGGCGACGATCGAGATCAACATAGAGCAGACGAAGAACGGACTTTCTTCGTCTGCTCTGTGTGATAACTGAGACCGTGTCGCTGTAATCAAGGTCACTAACTACAGCTTCTGTCATAGAAGCTGTGTCAGAAGCTACAGTCTGTCGAGACCTCCCTGCGTCCTATGGTCCGGTGCGTCTTATGGACCGCAAAATAGGTACATATTGTGTGTGGGAAGGGGTTAATAATTCCAAAAGGAAAAAAAAAAACATACCCATAAAAGGCTCCATTTTTTCCCATTCAATTCTATTTTAAAGAGTCATTCATGTTTTCCATGTGAATAAAATAAGTTGCTAATTGCTAAGACTAAACAGAAAAAAAAAATGTAGTTTCTCGTTTCTTTTTTACCTGCGAGGAATCTCCTCATCTGCATATTGTACAGACACTGTGTAAGGACCTTCAACGCTCGGTGTGTATGCCACAGTGTGTGTCCCGTCTTCATTATCTGTAATGTCAACTGGTTCCGCAATTCCTAGGAAGACACAGCAAATTTGTGACAGGATTTCTTAGTTTAGCTAAAAAAAAAACCTTCTATGAACTGACGCTAAAAAGGTGTGGTCAAATTTGGTACGAGTGGGAATATGAACTGCTGACTCCCAACAGCAATCAGATAAATCCTTCATGTTTTAAGCATTTATAGAACTGTAAGTAACCCATTGTTATTTTGCTAAACTACAACCCTTTTTGAAACAAATCTACAGTGTCTGCTATCATGACTCCTGTAAACAACTACTCCACATTTTCTCAGCTACAAAACTCCTTTATTTTCTTTCTTCTCCAGATCATGAGGAATGCCTTTGCGGTCTTTTAAACATGCCTATAATTGAACACATATCCACTGCATTTTCCATATGGGCCGTTCATATACTCGAATAAGATGCTCTTTTCCCCTAATAGCCTCCTCAAGTGTGAATGTTTTTATACATTAATCCGTTTTATGCCCTGAATTTGTTATAGTTGCCTCACTCTGTACTCTTTACACCTTCAAGACATCCATAATGTGAACTACTAATGATTAACCTGCTTCTTCAAAATGAGGCCTTACTTAAAGGGGCAAACTCATGTGTGCCTCTCATTCTCTCAGATCAGATGACTTTTGCATTATAAGTTCTTTGCTACCCAGAAACTGAAGACTGATATTGTATGCTATTTTGACATCTGTAATCTCAAAGTAAACCTGGATTAAGTAAACCTGGATTCTTCTCAATCATCAATTCACCCCTAATTACCTTCCCCCAAACTGTATATTGAACCTATAACTTTAAATGTATCCATACTGGAAGGTTAAACCCATTTTCTATCCATTTTTATTTGTTTATTTTCCTAACCAACCAACTTGACAGTTTTGAAATCTCTGACAAAACATTTTCTGCATATGTTGTTGTGTGTGGTCCCCTTACAAATTCCTTACATATCTTTCCGGCAACAAAAGATAAGCTTTCAGCTCTCTAGATAACAGCTAAAAGACCTTGATCTCAAGGTAAAAACGGGTAACAATATGGTTTTAGGTCAATCCAATGTTACTATGTCATTAAACCATAAAAATGGTTTAGAAATAATTAAACATAGTTCTTTTGAGGATTCATGGGTGTAAACCATCCCGTTTCTTATTTTTTATTATCCAACAATTTCAAAAGGTCCTGATCAACATTAAGCTACTATAATGCACTAGAAGCTGTGTCCGCAACATGCCCATCTAAAAGCATGCACTGACTGCATGTGATACTGTGATGAACAGTTTTCACACCAAAAATGAATTTATTATACCCTATTAATCAGATCTAAGTCCTTACTCTAATTCTAATGGTGGAGGACAGTCATAACACTTTCACTTGCAATATCATAATAAAAATGATAGTATCACATAGATACCAGCAATAGTTATACTAAACACCGAAAGGTTCACGTCATTAATACACTGACAACTAAAAGAGCAGGACGTCAAATTGTGTGCACTAAATACAACTATTGTGATTGAAAGAAACCTCTAACTTCTGTTGCAACTTACCATTGCCTGGCAACTGTAAATCATCTTCAAACTACCATCACAAGTTGGAAAAACCTAAAATAACCTATACCAAGCTTTTTTTTTTACATGTCTATCTCCATGTCACGCAAGGATGACAAGGTTTTTGAATTGTTTCTTATAGTACCAAGAAGTGCTCCAGGAAATGTTAAAAGGAATGCTTCTTTTCCATCCTTCACTAGAAAAGGGATCTAATTTATTAAAACAGACAGAGAAATGGAATGGTTCCCAACAGTGACCAGTTTCTTATTTCAGCTTCACTCTGCACGTTGCTGATGAATAAAAGCTATAACTGAACAGTCATAACAGTAAAAGTGAAAAATGACCAAATTGTTTATGGTACATCTTCTACTGGTAAATGAAGCCAATTGCATTTTGGGAAATTCTGATGAACTAGTAATAGAGAAATAATGGGAATATTTTTTATGAATGCAAAGTGTCTTTTCTAGAGGAGGTTGGAAAAGAAAATGTTCTGTTTAAAAACAATTAAGTATAAGGTGCAAGAGCAAAACTAGGCTGATGTAAGATGACATTTTTCCGAGGAAAAAGCAACCGTAATAATAATACTGAGACGATCACTTGGGTTCTGCTGTGCAAACTGGAAATGGAATCCCAACTATTTGTAATGTGCAGTCCTCAGTATTATTGTTGGTATCTGTTATACATACAGTTTAATTGATTTAATATGACCAAATGGAATCATGAGAAAGGTTGTTAATTGAAAGAAAGCCCTGCCACCAAGCAATCATGATTTGTATGAAGCAGCAAGCTATCCCAAATTAAAGAAAAAAAAATTAAAAAAAGAAAGGCATTGAAATGCACTTCTGCAGATTCTAACTACTTATGATACATTTAAGGTGGGCATTGCTCAGCATCAACTGATCAGTAATCCAGCATAATCCAGCTAATACAAATAAATTAAAGTCTATCTAAAGCCTCTAGTTTTTTGCCTTCAGAGTGATAGACATTTTCCATGCAAAATTACATGTTAAATGCCTTAAAAGAAATCTAATCGTTTGAATGGTAAATGCGGTTGGTAAACTGGATGATCATGCACCCTGTTAGATGGTGCTGGAGACATTTGGCGGGACTAAAGAAGGCTTATACATCATTTCTTTAGGCTCCTGCAGATAGAGCAATGCGCTGTCAATCTAGAATGCTGTGAGCAGAGTTAGGCATGATCATTTACTAATAGGGGAATCAATGGTGCCAGCAACTATGCAGCTACAGTAGCAGGAAGGGAGGCACTGTGATTTCACTGCAGCGATGTCACCCTATCAACCCAATATTACTAATATAGGTAGCCTACATATCATGTGATTTTACAGTTTGACCATAGTACTACTTTAATTATGAAATAATTCAGAGAATGATTTGGCACTGCGCTGATGAAACGCAGCAATCGGGCATTAAAGTATATGTAAAGGCAATTTTTTTTTTTTAGTTTGGGATACAGTTGGGATGGGTTAGACCCTCTGCATCCACACTGGTTAAATTAACCCTTCTATTTGGTCTTGTGGCCATTGTCTCCAAGGAATAAAGTAACGGAAAACCCCATAAGTTTTAAAGTTGTTATGAGTTGTTATGAGGCAAAGATGAACGGAATCTTCTAATGTGAACAAATGTTGGGAAGATGGGAAAATCCCCTCACTGTGATTGGCTTGGGAAACACTGACCTAGGATAAGGCACATATCAACACAGTCACCTTGCAGACTGGATTTGCATCACCTACATTCTGCAGCATTCTACACTATTCTTTTCTCCCAACATATGAGACATTTCTTTTGGCTTCCTAATCTTGTATGGTTGGTAATTCCAGCATACAAGGGTCTGATTGTTCCATGTTCAGTACAGCAATCATCTGTATAGTTCTTGTCAACTGACACCATTCAACAGGATAGCCCGCTGCATCTCAGGTGCGTTCCCACGGGGTCTGTAACACAAGCTAAATTGCCCATGGACAGGAGAGTGTCTATTGATGTAGATCAGGGCTTGTATTCACAGGAGCCAGAGACAGCCCAGCGTATAGAGAAGGGGGGAGAGTGTGCTGGGTTCCAGTGCTGTTGACAGAAAGGAATGACATGAACTAGCCAACTAAGATTTGTGTGTGTCCAGGGCCTCATAATCATGTCTAAATGGTTCTTGCAGCTCCTAACAGAAACATGATTCTGCTTCGCATCCTTTAAGATGCAATTATGGCACGAAGGTTGGATCGGATTGGCAGCTATGGCATAAAGGATAGTTTTAATTCTGGGTACTTTGAATTATGAAGTTCCAAGTGTTAGTTGTGATGCACTGAGCAGCCTAGTGTGCATGCTAATTAAAGCACACTGATTGTGTTATAACAGAGAATTTTTAGTCTCAATAACAACACTCATATACATATCTTTACCAGTGGGTATAAATCTGTATAACTTATTTTAGCATATTCATCAGTTTATTTCATTTCATATCATATGCAGTTACAAAGAGTCCACTTTCCAATCTAAACTAGTGTACATATTGTAAGCCTCAACTTGCAGTCACATCAATAGCTCCAAGTGAATTCTGCAAGGTACCGGTCCAGCACAAAAAATAGCAGCCTCTGTTTACCTGACAGGTTACTGTAATGTTAGTGGAGCCGAAGCATCAGCCTGGACTATAGGTTGAGGTTAGGGTACAACAGAAATACTTCTACACTCATCTGTCGAAGTGTGATGTGAACCTTTGATAATATTACTGCCAAGTATCAGGAGAGACTACATAAGCCAATACATATTTTTAAAAAGTATATGGCAGACAAGTGTATATTCTGGGAAGGCCTAGGGCACACACAAATACTATTTTTCAAAGTCAGTGTATGATGGTAGAAAAATGGGCACATAGATGGCTAGAAGTTGAATACATAATATTCTTTATATATATAATTTCTATGATGTTTTAAAGTTGGCTCACAATGTACAATGAAAGTAACCATTTTATGACCCTAAACAATTTTTGAACCAGCCAAGTAGCAGAACAAAGCTGCAGTGCTGACCATAACAACCAGTAAGGTTTTAGTTTTAATTTTAGTAGTCTAGGTTAGAAAACGGAAGCCAACATCTGGGTGGGGTTGATAAGGGAACACAATCCTATTGCCCCCCTACATTTGTAGACAGTCTCCAAATGATAGGCAAATGTTTGTTACAGGTGTGAGAATGCACCTTTTAAATTTACAACAAAATCATTTCTTAAATGGTGAAATTTGGAAAATTTAAAGTGGTAAAAAATGATTTCGAGTCTAAGGAAAAGCAACCAGAAGCAAGATCAATCAAGACTTGATTGGATCTCCACGTTTTTTCCTGGAGCAGATGACAAAAATTCCAAACCTGGCTCTTTTGCATCTCGCTTGAAGTCACCTTTAAAGAAATTTGAAATGGCTCTCAATGGGCTCCGTTTCGATAAAGAGTCTGTCTCATCAACTAGAAATAAATAGTGTTGTAAGCTCCATCTTAAGAAATAAACATTGTTCATAGTAGCGTGCAATACTCCTGGAACAGATGATGTAGAACAACATGCAGAAGAACACACTCCATCTTCCACTGCAAATGTATCTTCAGCCTGGCTGTCAGGGTGTAGTACTACATACAGACTGCATGCAGAGGTGGCGCTATGTAAAAAACAGCTAGTAATGGAAAAATGATCTCCAAGTAAATATAATAAAAGATCAATTGTTATTCTAACTAAACAAACACAAACATATCATTTGCTTAACCCATGCATATAAATAATTCAAATATTTTTACATTTTTTAATTATCAGTAAAAGAGGGGGATGAAAACTATGTTTCAGTGAATTTGCAAGTATGCTTTCAAAAGTGACAAAAAACAAAAAAAAAGTATATATTTTCAGACTATGCAGATTAACAGGCTGTAGTAAGTTGCAGATTTTCACCTGCATTTCTCTCTAATGTATGAAGAGTCCAGAAGTGACAGTCAGCCAATTCTCTTCCTACGGTGTCCTGACATTGCCATACATCAGTGTTTTAAAGTAAATTCAGATTAGCATACGGTAACTGCAGAGGGCAGGCAAAGGCAAAACACACCCATTGTCGACTCATTTCCACTGGCATCTTTCAGCATCAGAAAAATATATTTTTTTTTAATAGAAAAAAAAATAAAAAAATCTTTAGATGGCCAATAAAACAGGAAAGCCTTACCTCTTGGTCCCGTCACTTCTACATTAAGAGGAGCCACTCCAGCTTTGCTGGTGTCCACCACAAACTGTTGAGGAATTTTGGCACGAACAGCATTTCCCAGTCCAGGGCCAGCAACTTTTACCTTGCTGGGATCAACAACATCTTTTGCAGGGACCTTAAATGGACTTCCTACAACAAATGCAGGGTAATATTTAAAATCATTGCCACCAAAAATATAATATTTTAAAACAGAGAAGGTATCTAGAAAAAGACATATCCTCTACAACAATGAAAGTTCAGATCAGACTAGAAGCAGAACCATATATACCCTATAAACCATAGGGAGTCAAGATCACTCAATTATTGAGCCAGAAACGATTTGAAGTATCAGCAAGTCCTGCCACTATTATTAAAGAAAAAAACAACAAAGCGCCAAACATTTTGGCAGCTAGGATGTCTATTTGACTATGAAGGTATCAAAGTCCTAATGGGTAGCTCTCTCATTGTCAATCTCTGTCATAATGTGGATTAATTTGGTACTAAACATCAATTGGACAAGTGAGCAATCAAGCTATCGCCCATTTGTCCAAATCCTGCAAAGAAGTAAAAAGTATAACCCTATGTACTTGTAAATTTCACTTCCTAAAGAAGTGGGTAGCAGAAACAAATAGACTTCATCACTACAATCAAGACTAGTATTAGATATTGAAAGTGAACCAGTGACCAATTAGTATATTTAACATATTACATATGCCATCATTAATTGTTATAATAGAGCAACCTAACCTCACAAAGTATAATTAATTTTTAATTACTTGCATTCTCCACATGGTAAAGCAGGTGTGTGTGGTTAAGTACCCAGCTCTGAAGGTGGCCATACACTTTACAACCATCGCAAGACCTTAGTCATGCGATGGTTGTAAAGTGATTTAAAAAACGTACGATCTGCCCATCTTGGACAGATCGTACTCTCGATCATCGCAAGCCCGCCCCCTGAGGGGCGGGCTTCCGATGACCGCAATGCTGAACGGGCAGTGTGCGCATGCGCACACCGGCCCGTTCGGCATTTGTCTCCCGAGCACCGTTCAAACCAGCCGAAAATCATACGATTTTCGGCTGGTTTTCTAGCGTGCTCCTTAGACAAAAGACGTGCGACCGTACAGTAGAAACGGTCGCACGTCTTCATTCACACTGCACGATTCTCGTACGATCGCGGGATTTCCCGCGATTCTCGTACGAGAATCGAGCAGTGTATGGGCACCTTAAGGTTGTCCAATGCTCTGCCTGAACTGAAAGGCTTTGCTAATTGACAGTTTTATCATCTTCCAGCAGCCTGTAGTGTGTGTCCATTATCAGCCCTAAAACTCTGGCAGGAGATAGGTCAGCTGCCATGGAAGCCTTCCAGCATACAGCTAAATAGCAGCACACATCTATTCTTGAGGGGTAAGGCTGCTTTATTATAACAACTTAAGTGTAGAGATTTAAAATCTTATGGATATGCTTTGGTGACAGGTTCTCTTGTGTGTTTAAGATGATTCAATGGACAACTGTACCTCAGTAAATTTGGTACAAGCTGTCCGTTAGTGCATGACACCCAACCAGCGCATTCATACCATTGACCGATTCATCTCTACCGGGAGCTGTACTCGTAGTGGCCACCAGTGGTCCTGCAGAGCATGGTTCTCCCCATAGGAAAGAATGAGGCTGCAAGTCCATGTGCAGGATGAAGAGGACCTGCTGGGAGCCCTTTCTGCAGCAAGGCTGTGTGGCTCTGGGAAGGGCCTGCACAGTAATATCACTAGATTGAGGATGAAGGTGTGTAGTTCTCCAGGTAGGCTGCACCAGTATGCATAGTAGGGGCATCCCTTAAAGGACAACTTGTACCAAAAGGTAGACAACAAAACTATGGATCCTCTACCTATAAAAGGCTATACAATGGCCAACCTGTTTAAGTTGTTTCAGATGTCAAGAAAATAATGTTTCTTCTTTTCTAAAAGATATTAATACATATAGTACCTTCTCCAGCACAACAACCAATAGTATTTTACAGAGGTCCAATCGAAAAAAGAAAAACATATGATGAATACATGTATTTATTTTAACCCAGATGATGGTAACCAGACAATATGTAACCGAATTGAAGAGTTTTCAGCTAACACACAAAAGGAAATTTACTGTCTGCTCCGGAACACTGAGGTTTGGTCTGCGGATAGACTTACAACCAGTAAAACAACTAAAACTGCATGCTATATTTAGGAGATGAGCGTTTAGGTCATTTTGTCAGTGGCCCAACTTTAAATGGTTCATGTTGGACTCAGAACAATGGTAATAAATATATGCGCCATAAAACATAACAGCAGCTTTTACCACAGACACTGCTGTTTATTGAGTTAACACAGCTCAGTCTATAATTTACATATTAAAATATCCTTTCACTATTTACAGCAAGTCCGTGTTGCCAAAAAGTCCTAGCCAGCTGAAGTACCTGGAATATGCTCCCCGTCGTACGTTATGTTGACATCATAATCTCCTGGGGCATATGGGATGTACTCAACGCTGCAGCTGCCATCTTTGTTGTCCTTACAAGACATTTTGGATTCGGATGGACCCTCAACTGTTATTCCCAGACCACCAATCCCGGCCCCTCTGAAAGAAAACATTTAGCATCTCATTACATACAGGATGATCATTTTATTTCTCTACCCCTCAACATTTACTGACCAGCCCAGCATGAACTACCAAGTTCAACTAGAGTTTAATGCTCTATTCTTCCATCGTAATAAGGTTGTCTTGATGTATTCTAGGCACTCCAGAAAATCAAATATGATTAAAGGTAAACAAGTTCACAAGTGGAAAATCAAGTCAGCACAGACTGTGCACTAAATATAGCATTATTACAAAGCTTTATTTAAAGAAGAACTCTGGGGAAAATAAAAAACTTACTCATGCAGTGGGGCTATCCCCATGAGTGCCTGTTTTGTCTAGAGGGCTCAAATAAAGCAGTTTTCACTTCATCCTCTATCCAACAGCGGTTGGCACTCCCCTCATTACCCCTCTGCTCCCGGCTACGCAATGTCCCTTGGGGTCCGCATGCTTAATGCAGGTCAATGGACCGGCATAAGATGTGTTAATGTCAACGGTCAGACCATCGGAGCGCAGGATAGAAGAGGCTGCAGTGACCGGTTAGCAGCCTGTTGGGACTGAGGATCAGGTAAGTAAATCTGCTTCGAGTCCCCTAGACAAAACGGGCACTTAACCCTTGCAGTGCAGCGGGTAGCCCCACTGTAAGGGTATGTTTTTGAATTTGCCCGAGTTGTATTTTTGCTATGCTATGGATAAAATGCTAATACATTTTTTTTAAATTAGGTCAACATTTTCATAAGCTTCGATAGAGGTAGTGTAGTGGCTTAAGGGGGGGGTCAACATCTTATATATACATACTGGGGTTGATTTACTAAGGGAACAGAGACTGGGGATGCAAACAGCAACAAAAACATTTTTAAGTAACCTGGAAAACAGTTTGACCCCTGGTCCTCCTATTTAGTATTCTGGTGTATGGTTGTGGTGGACGTTAAGCGAGATCTTCATAATGGGGTCACAGGCTCCAATACAAACCTTAATGAAGATTGAGTGGGAATGCTTTCCCACTCAATCTAAAACTAATAAAAAAAAAAAAGTGCAACATGTTTAAATTGACATTTAATAAAAAGTGGAGGATTTGCTACCTTGTAATCACAGAAAAAGCATTTGTTTTATTTGTAAGGGCCTCTTGAAGTCCAGGCCCCTGTGCCTTTACACGAGATGGGTAGCAGCCTTCTGTCACTCCAACCTTGAATGGGCTTTTAGGAACTGGTTCATCGTCATACATCACCTTCACAGAGTGGACACCTAATGAAAACGATTACAAGTATACATTTATATCTTATTATTCTGATAGGATATCGTTCTGTTTAGCTGAAGATGACGGTGGAAACAGAAGAAAGTGCAAGAAAAGAAAACAACACAAAAGTATCACTGATTTTACAGAAAGTCCCACAGAGGCCAGTTTGAGTAGACAATGCCTTACAGCAACTCTTTCCATTGAAAACACTTCATATACATATCAAAACTTAGAGACCCCGGCATCCAGCGCCGGCACCTAAATGCACTGCAATATCTCATTCATACAATTCCTGCCCAGACAGCACCACCCATGTGTTTGGCAGCTCACTATTGCAGGAGGTACCAGCATTAAATTAAAAAACAAAATAGCTACATATGGACATTATAGCAGACAGAGCAGGTTAATGGGAATTATAGTATATGTAGAGCAGTGCCCATGACCACAATATATGAGCACTGCCCATAACCTGAAAACAGAAGCGAAGAGAACACCCACTTTATAAAGCACAGGGAGAAAGCGACCAAAAAAAGAGCAAAATAATATTATTGGCAGATTCAAACAAAAAGGGGCTGTTAAGGACATTGTGCTGGATTACAATGTTATTCTTAGAAGAAGGGTTTAATGACACTTTAATAGAGTGTAAATAGACTTTATTTTGTAACAACTCATAGTGCACACAGCAAAGCCATACAGACCGGTAAGGAATCCGCTCCATACAGTAAAGTGTCTGAGACGTTCATTAAAAGAACATTTCAGCTTTCAATTCCTGTAGAAAGCTTTTAATTGGTTATAAAAATAAATAAATATTCCCATATATTTCCAAACCTGAGGACCCCGCGGTCATCAGTTTCTATATACTTTAAAATGTAATTAAAAGAAATTTAATTTAAAAGAAAAAAAAATTACATTTGCGGAATTCCTAGAGGACAACGACCTTTAGCCAGCATATAAAAATGCCTGCTTTCAGGTCTATGACTTTACTGACATTTTCCTGTTATGGTTTCCTATTTCACACAGATAATATTTCTGTAACCGCAATGTAAAAAGAGAGAACTGGGATTAGAAAATATTGTGGTTTGGGGTTGCCGTACGAAAGCTAAAGAACAAATAGAAACTATTTTTTTTCCTTATGTTTGTTCTGTACTCCAGCAGCTGCCGAGCAAAAATAAACATTGTGTATATCACCCTGCACGAGACACAGTGACTGATTCAATCCAAAATCCGGGCTGCTCTCTACAACCTACCATATGGAACTGCAGATTGGTCAGTCTTTATTTATAGTAGAATTTTTTTTTTAGAAGCTAATCAGTAATAATTCTGTTATTGTGCGGACAAGATGTGGCACTCTGCTCATGTATTCCCCGATATCACACAAAAGTTTTATTTGTATGAATGTTACTATGATTGTTTTAATGACCAATATGTGTACTTAACATGTACTTTAATTTCAGTGGCAAGTGACTAGGGAAGTGTTTCGCAACCTTTTTTTTTTTTTAGTCATGGCACCCTTTAAAAGTATGCAAAATCTTGAGGCACACCAGTCTAAAATGTAAAAAACTAAATGTGGCCTCTGCAGAAACCATACCAGACCCTTATCCAAGATAGGTGCCTTGTATGGATTTAAGGGGGCACCCTACGCAAAAACACAAAATAGGGTTCCCCCTTCACATGAAAATCTCCCAGTTGACACCAGAATCAGACTTTACAACAGGAGCACCCCATCACATCAGAAGTCCCCCTCATTCACAACAGGATCCTCCCTCCCTTTACATCAGGAGCCTTCTTCACATTAGAGGCCTGACACTGTGCAGATTTCAAGGCACCCTGGTTGAGAAAGGTTGAACCAGGGATGAGCTCAGGTCAAAACCTGAGCTCCTCCGCACCACGAAGGTGCATAAGGCCAACCGCTGCACATAAAGGGGTGGGATGCTTGTGCCAACATCATTTACCTTACATGGCCATATTGGGTCAATGTCATTAACTCAACAAAGCCATGTGGCCATAAGAGGTTAATGACATCATAGCATCCCGATTCTCTGCTTATGTACAGCTGCGGGCAGGAAATTCCCAGGCTGCAGTTGAATAGGCCGCAAGGTAATGAGCTACCTTCCGGGTTCGGAAGAGCTCAGCTTTGGTCTGAACCTGAGCTCATCCTTACAAGTGACACTGTACTGGAGCATTTTACCTTCATACATTTTAAAAAAAGGGACCACTTCACCTAATTGCTTGAATCCTAGACCCAAGCTGTACAGAGGACCTCGACTATTCACCAAAATGAGATTGAGCTTCAACCCCTCATGGCTCCCTGTCCCTGCCATTTATCTGTCAAAACCTCCGCGCCTCAGTACAATTGCACATTTATGTGCATTGCTTTGACACTTTAAATCACTAGCCCGGAGCAAGTATAAAGTGCAGTACTTGTAACTTTACTCTAAATGCAAAGCTCTGCGCAAACTGTTGGTGCTATATCAATCCTGTATAATAATAAATGGGTTTTCTTAGAACAGATATGTTTTCTTGTAGGCACTCTATGAATGATAGTACACAACCGTCTGAAGGAGTTTCTGCAGTGGGCACATTACTGTTTTTGGACTTAACACCACAATTACATTGACCGTATCTATTCATTCTGTCATGTGATGTTCAAATCCAATTTTTTAACGCCACTTAGCTTCCAGGCACTTTGTTCTCCAAGCCCTGTTGTGAGCAATTACCTTTTTCAAAAGGTGTGTACTCCACCTCATAAGTCCCATCATTGTTATCTTTCACCAGACAATCTGTAGCCGCTCCGGACGGGTTGGTTATTTTGGTTTTGATGTGATTTCCTCCAGTTCGGGTCAGAGGTCGAGCGTCCACAGTGAAATTAGTTGTGGCTTCCCTAAATAGTCCTGTTGAATAATAAGACTCATTAAAAGACATACCAATGTATATACAATGTATGGCATAATTGAACTACTTAAAAAGGCAAATCTTTTCATATTTAGTTTTTTCAAGATTATGAACAGTAAGAGCCCTGTCAGGCATGGCATGGCAATTTGGGTGCCCATCACTTTCTATACTGGGGACATCAGTCAGTACAAATAAAGGGTGCAACTCCCCAGCATGGACAGAGACAGCAATAAAAACCTGGCAGGGGTCCTCGCTCTTCCATATATCATCCAAAATTACAAAAGGTCTAAACAATAGGCAGCCCATTGGACAACTGAAGGAGCTGGCAGAGCAGGCTGACAACGCTAATTGCAAGGCAGTGGCCCAGGCTGAAACAGGATGTGCCAGTGATGGCATAACCTGACTTTACAAAAACATTTTGCAAACGAAAACTGTATACAGTGAAGAATGATACCAAACATACCAAAATATATATTAAGGGTTTACATACCCTTTCAGTTTTCCTGGGACACCAATTAGAAGGGCTTTCTTTCAAAATCATGGCTCCACATACTCTAATATTGTGATTTTCCCTGCTCGCCTTTACTTTGATCAACGCCATTAGCGGTGTTACCTACCAAATGCCGAAATTCTAAAGTAGAACTAAAGCCATGTTTTTAAAGTTTTGGATAGAGTAATGGAGGGTGATATTTATAGGGTTATGCCAACCATCTGTGTCCCATTGGGGAGATTTCCCTTTGGTTCCTGTCTGATAGCCACAACAGGAAGTGAGAGGATGTCCCTCCAAAGAGAGAAATCCCTGGTGGTCAGCAGGGTCATCAGAACTAGTGTCCCCATTGGAAGATTTCCCATCTATTCCTGTTCTAATGGCACCCCAAAATTTTGGATTTCTTTTTACTTTCACTTATAACAGTCACCAGGGCAAATGGAGAGGGTGAAAAGCTTTAAAAATATAATGATCTGATTCTACAACGTAGTAAGGAGAAAGATCAGCCTCAAACAGGAAATCTTTAAAAAACAGAACAAAATATTTGTTATAATTATCTGGCAAAAAAAAGTTTCCCAAAAAGCTATGACATAGTCTTACCATCTCCTTCCACACCAGGTCCATACACTTTGACTTTACTAGTATCCACAGCAGAGTCAATCTTTACACGAGCAGGGAACTTTGGCACTTTCTCGCCTCCATACTTCATAGACAATGTGTACATGCCAGCAAAGAGAGGAGCATAGGTGACAGCATGTGTTCCGTCACCATTGTCCTGTATGTAGACCTCCGCTTTGGACCCAGAATCAGACACTGCTTCCATGGTGAGAACTCCAGGTCCTGCTTGGGAACAGTCTACATGAATCAGTCCAGCCTCTCCTACTTTGCCATGCTCCAGGCCAGGACCTGTGGCAACCACTTTGGTGGGATCAAAGGGCATTTCAATTTCGGCTTGGAATGGGGAACCTGGAATATGAGTTTCTTCAAAAAGGATGTTCACAAAGTATTCCCCGGGCGTGGTTGGCAGATAGGAAACGGAACATGTGCCATCACCATTGTCGGAACATTCAATTTTGGCTTCGCATGGACCTTCAACAGTCAAGCCCAAACCTCCAGTGCCTGCTCCTTTGGTGTCAATAGTAAATTCAGCAGGCTTACCAACCAGACCTCCTTTAAGGCCAGGTCCATATGCTTTAACCTAAAAAAGAAAAAATTGTCTAAGGTAGGGATCACAAAATTTACAGGAAGTATGTTCAGTTCCAATAAATGAAAAGGACTACTGATGTTACATAAAATGTACTTCTGATTAAAGCCTCTCTATTTAATATTATAGTAACCATTACAACATTCCTCTGCTGCCAATGGGGGTTATTGCAATAGACTGTTGAAGCAATGAAAGACTTAAAAGCACTATTTCGTTTTTGTTGTGTTGGCTGACCTTGGCTCCAACACACAACAGGACTGAGGGCAACAAGATTTATATGAAGAAGGGGACAGAAGTAAAAGAAAAGCCACAGAGGTTAAGACATTAAGTCAATGGTAATACAAATCTAGAAACAATGTCTTGTCAAATAGGTTTTTATGGATAAGCCAAAGTTCAATCATTTTAGGGATTTAGGTCTAAACTGTTAAAAAGAAAACCTGGCGTTTGATTTTAGATTTGCCTATAAAATGTAAACAATGCTGACTAATGATAATTAACATCAAAAGACATTTAAAAGGTTTTGGCTTGCCTTTGTGGGATCAGGAGGTAAGGTGGCTTCCACAGTATAAGGACTTCCTGGCACTGGGTGGCCATCATAATTCACATCCACATTGTATACCCCCTCCTCTTTTGGAATATATTTCACCGTGCTAGCGTCTTTCCCTGGCACTGGGTCTACAACACTTGGAATGACTTTCCTGCTTGGGCTGGTAAGTTTCACATCCAGTTTGCCTTGTCCACCAGCTCCCTTGGTGTCCACAGTAAACTCTTGGTCTTTACCAACTTCCACTCCTGCATGAAATACAAGAAAAAGCCACATTTACCCAACAATAACTCACTGACATACATTTGTGCAAAATCTAATGCAGAAACTGCCCGCACAGTATTACGCTTACATAAGATCATCACTCTCTTCCAATAATCCATGTTATGTCCATGCTATATCCATTAAGTTGTACACATAAATACAATTCATTTTGTGTAAAGCACTGCATGATTATGTTTGGCTGATAACGGTACAAAAGTTATAATGCAACCAGCAAAGTGTTAATGTTTCCTACAATGGTATAATTGTGAAACACTTTTAGTACCAACCACAAAAAAATGATGTTAGGTTGTAACACCTTCAAGACCCATTAGTACCCTTTGGTAGTTACAGTGTAAGCTGCTTTTAGTTAAAGGGTTAATTCCATCCAAACTGATATTCAGCTTTTGGCAGATGCTAATGTTAAAATTGACTGTTTCCACCTATTGCTGTAAAGGAAAAGGGTTAATACTTACCTGTATCCTGCTGCCCATGCTTTGGATATTTGCCCTCTTGAAAAGCTATGGTGGCTAAAACATTTTAAGAAACCAAAAACACTCTGTAGCTGATATATAAATATTCTGACCAGCATATAGTTGGGCAATTTCCATTTGCATGGCACTACAGCCTGTAGATGGTGGTGAGAAGCAAAGGAATTTGCTATGCTCCACAGTGCCATCTAGTGACCGTAGTGCCCTACCATTGGCATTCGGCCAGCTATTTATGTGGTGACTAATGCTTTAAACAACCTGAAGTTTCTTGTATCTTTCAGGGATTCTGTTAGTGACATATCTGTGCTTGGGTCTGCTGGCCTGCACACCTGCAGTGTCCACCATGAAGAGTTCCCACTGTCACCTTTTGGATTTATATTATATTATTGGGAATGCAACAGGAGAAGCTGGAACATGCAAAAGTGGACAGTAACACCCAAAATGCCAAGCTGGACAGGAAATATGGCAGCGAGAGCTCACTACTAATGTAACCAAGACATATTTTAATAACTAACCTGCTTGGTTGACTTATTACAACGTGTGGGTTGACAAACCCTTTAAGGTGTTGAATATGGCTTCTATTCAGTGTGGCTGAAATGCTAAGGACCGTTAAAGGGATAAATAGGTTGCAGTACAAAACCTACCCATATGTAGGATCTAGGCCAGCCTTTCTCAACTAGGGTGCCATGGCACCCTGAGGTGCCTTCTGCCTTTCTTGGGGGTGCACTGAAATCTTTGCACAACGTCATGCCTTTCCATGGTGCAGGAAGGCGCCTAAAGTGAAGGGGGAATTCTGATGTGAAAGGGGGAGGGAACTGGATGTGAAGGGGAACCGTGATGTGAAAGGAGGGGACTACCAATGTAAAAGGTGGGATTTTGATGTAAAGGGAGATTTTTTTTGTGTGTGTTTTTGCCTGGGATGTTAGACTCCCATCGGGGATAAGGGTCTGGTTTGGATTTTAGACTGGTTTGCCTTGCAATTTTGGTACTTTTAAAGGGTGTTGTGACTTAAAGGGTGAAAAACACTGATCTAGGCTGACAAATTGACCCACCTAATGTAATAATGATCAATACTCTATCTGTAAAAATCTTTTAAAAAATTGCAATCATGGCTACTTACGGCTATCAAGTCCATTGATTTTGATCTTGCTGAGGTCCAGAGGAGCCGCCACTCCAACTGTAAAGGGGCTTTTTGGAATAGGATCTCCTCCATAGTTCACATTGACCGCCATTTTGCCCTGAAATATAATATTTTGTAATAGTTTATTTCCAATAACAAGTTTTACTGAACTGCCTACACCACGATTTGTAAAAAAAACCAAAAAAAAAAAACCCACGCAAGTACATACAAGCAACTACAGTGATATGTAAAGGAAAGCTCCACATAAAAATTATCCTCAGCTGTCCTTCTATGAGCTCCAATATCCCAAACCGTAAGATCCGGAGAACCTATAGATATCCTCCTGTTTTTTTATAGGTTTATACATCACACCGAAAAGAGGAACAACAAAGGAAAGCGACACAAAGGGATTTTATTCCAAAAGAGGGACAGCCTCTGCATATGAGCGATGGTGAGGAGCTATGAGTAACTGTCAGCTTTGCGCATGAAGACAAGGAATGTATTACTACAGAGGGTGAATGGAGCAATGTCACCTGGTTTACAGACCACAGAGAGGAACAGTAACAGGCATTTATGCATATAATTTAAAAGCAAAAGAAACAATCTTGACTGAAAAGCAATTTTCCAAACGGGAAGTATAAAGATAAATTATGCTTTGAATAGTGCCGTCCGTCCGTTTTTTTACTACGGGCGGACGGCAAGAGGTTAAATATAAATGTGGTGAAATAAATTCACCCACAAAAAAAAATAAATTAAAGCTGAACTCAAGGCAACTATAAAAGACACAAATTGATGCATCTCTGTAATTAGCAATACATTATAAAAGAAGAACTCTGGGCAATTTTTTTCTGGAGCATTAAAAGGAGAACTATGGGGTTAGGGCTTTTCCCCATAGTTCTCCTGAGGGTAACGGGAGGATACAAACTAGCGTCCTCCCGTCACCCAAAGCTCATACTGAGACGCTGCAGCTGAAACGGATCCAGACAATTATGTCTGGATCCACCCAGCTGCCTGAGTGACAGCTGGCTCTGCCTATCTAGAGGCAGAGCCAGCTGTACCCGCCCCCTCCCCCGTCCGTTACGCCAGTCAGCGCTGGAGGATCGGAGGGGGGAATCCAGTCCCTCCTCTGTCACGGCTCTCTGCAGTGACAGGATCGAGAAGTGAGCGAGCGCCGGTCTGTGCTCGCTCACTTCCCGATCTACTGAGCCGACCTGTGACAGTTTCATTGCTGGTAAATGCAGCACAAACACAGAATACACTAGTTCTCTATAAAAGCTAGGATATCCGAATGACCTACCTACGATCTAGCTGCCAAAATAAAATAAATAAATGGGACAGGAGTCCCTCTGTTGTTTACAAGGGTTCTGCGAGATATGGCGCCTCTTTAATGCTACATGGAGGGGTCCATAGTGAATAGGGTGTTTACATCTATCCTTTGCTCAATAGCTCTTTGTTTATTTAATGTGAACTGGTAATCCCTTTCAAACAACGATTTTCTATCATTTTCCCTAGCATCCTCCAGAACCACTCTTCTTACAAAATAAAAAATGTGTTAACATTCCTTATTGCCACAGCGGTTTCTGGTCGCATAAAAAAAAAATCTCGCTCTTGATCTCTGCAAACAAGCATACTTTAAATCAGTCATCATGTTTATTTGCAGAGTAATCAGCCAGGGTACTAGACAAAAGCAGCCCACAAAACAGATTTCTGAGAGTCCTCTTACAAATTGCTGGCACCCAAACAGCACAGGGAACTCGTTCTGTATGGTCTGGCGCGCGTGCTGCGTGGTCTATGAATGTCTCCATTGCTGCCAAGGAGCTGGAATATACACAGCGCAAACAGCTCAGCTGTGATGTGCCAGAAACATTTTCCAGTCATCGCTATCCAGTTCAGTGCGTTGTGTTTGAGAGGAGAGAAAAAAAAAAACCAAGACATCGGCACCTCATTTAATTTGATCCGCAATTAAAAAGAACACAAAGCAGCGATGTCGTGTTCCCACCATGTCATACGCTTTAATAAGCAGAACACTTACATTGGGTAACCAGCTCTAACATGGTCATTGCTGGCTTATATGCACTGATATTTAAAGGGGAACAATAGTTAAAGATCAGCTTACATATATGCAGATGATTGCTTAAAGTGCATCTACTTTTTTTTAATATATATTATTGGACGAACTAGAACCTCTGTCAGATTTTTACTGTCTCAGATGTATAATGTCCAATGGGGGCACCAAACTGTGTCTGAGAGGCCAAAAACTTGTAATAATGATGTTCTCAAATGACCACATAGAACAGCCAACACATTTTCGGGGCTCAAAGACCTCCCACTTCCTTAGAGCTTCGTCATGGCTTAAATATAGTGGGTATTAGGGACTCAAATCTGGTACAAATCACCAAGAGTTTATTATTCAGTATAGGGTACAGCCAGAATCAGTAAAATCAGAGACTTTTGCTGGTTCACGAATTCTGGCTATACCCTATACAGCAAACGTTGGTGATTTGTGCCAGCTTTGAATCTTTATTACTTATTATGTTTAAAGTAACACTAAACTCGGGAGTTAAATCTTAAAAATGCATTCAAGTACCTTAACGATCAACAAAAATGCATCTTATTTGTGTTTCACTCGGCTGTAGATCCTCAAATCATCTCTAAAGTAGCCACCGCTCCAAGCTCACTCCCGGTGATGGACTACAATCTCATGTTCAGTTAGCTAATTTGTATTGGGAATGTAGTCCATTACGGGAGTGAGCTTGGAGCGATGGCTACTTTACAACACACACAGGGACCATGGGGAAAAAAAGTAGTCACCCTCCAGAAGGAAGGACAGTGTCAGCACCAATTCAGAGATGATTTGAGGATCTACAGTCGATTTGTGAACTATTATTATGAATAAAAGTTTTGGTATCTCAAACTGTTTGTTTGGCACTTATTAAACTTTTTACACTGGAACCTTCAATTCTGGGCTCCTTGTCTTCTGATAATTTGAATTCAGCGCCTCACCTCCACTTATTGCAGATGTGTACTGTTGTCCATGGTTCTATCTGGCAGAATCCCCATACTTCCTGTGTCTTCCAGTGACAGCATTGTCACCTGGACAGGAAGTGAGAGAATTCCCGCAGCAGGAATCAAAGACAACAATGACAATTCTTTTTTTTTTCACTTTGTGGTCTGTGTTCCTGTTGCAAATTTTCTTTCACTTCCTGTGTTGTGACCATGTAAATACTTGAACAGGAAGCACTGCGATGTCATGCAAAAGTCTATGGCTGTAAAGTTCTATTTGTTTTTCATTTTCAATATTGTACAGATATACTGTATATCTATACTGAATGGGAGAACCTTAAATGAGTTGAAAACACACTGCTCGTATATGATATGTTCATATTGCTAAAGTTCATCTCCCGTGGAAGTGCCAAATTCACTTTCATGTAAGCTGGTTTTGCTACCAGCATGGAATGGAATTCTCTGTACTGTTGCCTATGGATTTCATACAGATACAATAACAAGCTAGAAGAACACCAAGGTTACTACATAATATTCCCTCCAATCTGGGGTAATAATAGAAGGTCTAGATAAAACTGGTATGGAGTGAATTCAGAACAGCGTGTAGTATGCAGGGATTTCCGCTGAACAGATTGTGCATTCATTTACTAGCATCTCTAGATAAAAGCAAACAAACATAGTAAAAGCTGGAATCAAAGCACAGATCTGAAAACAATAATCTTACTCTTTAATGTATAAAGAAAGTAACTTTTGTCTTTAGACAATAGGGGCTTTCCATTCTTCAAATAAAAACATAATACTCCTTTTCTGGTTCATACGGAACTAAATACAGCTTGTTTCATTGACATCGAAAGTGAATACCGACTAAGGACTTGTTCACACCACAACCAGTGCATTCCAGTATGGTTAGTGGTTGGAATTCACTGGATCGCATAATTAAACCTCCTTGCCTTTTGGGGCGGGAGGGGTCGTGGTGGTCCCATTCAAGTCAATGGCACCGCAGCCACGCCTCCCACCCGCAGTGTGATAGCCAACACCAGAACGCGATCCAGTGTATTCCAGACACTAACCATGCTGGAAAGCACTGGTTGTGGTGTGAACAAGTCCTAAATACGCTGAAATCGCTGCAGAACAAACAGCGCTGTCACCCTGCTGAAGGAAACTGAAAATCAACTCATCTCTTTGCAGGAGGAAAACCTAGTTGTTACAGGAGACTGAGATGAACAATAAATGCTTTATTTTACTGTTGAAAGATTGCATCATTTATTTTTTTCCTTTGAGCTCAGTTTTTTAAAGTGGGCATTTACCCTTTAACTAAAAATCACATCAGCATACAGCTCTGCATGCTGATATGAAATCATCTTACAATCATTAAACAAAACATATTTTTATTTTACTTACACACATAGTTTATCCACTTCCTGGTCCTCTTGGCACAAGTGATGTAATCATTCCCAAGCATTGCATCCTGGGAAGGTTACATCAGCAGAGCATGGATGGGAAACCTCATCTGTAATCTCAACAGATCTCGAGGAAAGGTATTTTCCTCCCCTGAGATGATGTGCATGGTCAACTGTCCTAGTCACATGTGCCAGAGTTTAAGGAAGTAAAGGGAGATATATTAATCTGTCTTTAGTAAAAAAAAAAAATAATGGCCACTGCCGGAAGGCTGGGGAAGAAAAGAAAAATAAGGAATGCAAAGAATGAAAAGCCGGCAATTATCTAGAAGTATCTGTTTGTAGATTGTCATTACTAAACATTTCTAAAATGTGCCTTTGTTGTTATTTTAAAGATATAGGTAAAGTTCCTGTAAAGGCAGCTTATTCTAGGAAAGCACAACCCTTGTGTCCAATGACATATAGTCTAATAAAAAAATAAAACAATACCCTTACTTCTAATGTATTAAAAATAGAAAGTAACTTTTTTTTTAATGGGGACTTTCCATTCCTGAAATAAAAACATAATACTTTATAAAAATCTAACTACAACTTGTACTATTGACATAAAACTGCGTTCTGACAATTCTGACTAAATACGCTGAATTTACTGCAACAAACTGCACTGCCATCCGGCTGAAGGAGATTGAAAAACTGATATCATGGCAGGATCAAAACCTAGTTGTTACAGGGAGACTCAGATAAACTATAAATGCCGCGTTATTACTATTACAGCTCATTCTGTGATAGTGTCTCATTTGCGTACAATTATATATTTTACATGTTACTTTGTGGCAGGCTGTAAACTGCTATGAACAATTTTAAAGAGAATCTGTCCTCAAGACAAAGTGGGGTCAGAGCGAGTTTCCTCATTAACATACAAGGCAGAAGCCAAGCTTCTTGATCTTTAACCCTTTGATAGGACAGACCCTGATCAAATCTAGTTTACAACTGATGAGATTTGCCTGCACAGTACAGACAGGGTTGATTATAATAAACATTAACTGCCCAGTCCCCCCTCCTTGAAATTAGAGGGAATGGAAAAAATTTCAGTTATGGAGTTTTCAGAAGCTAACAAGTAAAATGGTAAACTGTATTTTTGTTTTTTAAATTAGGCTCTGGCAATGGGAACATGCAAGAAATATCAAAAAGTGGAAATACACTATACACAGGGAACCTGTGAGAGTATAGATACGGGAGCGGATGACTTGTTTAGTACAAGCTTTGGTGGTTCGCCTTAACCTCCCTGGCGGTCTGATTGTTTCATTTTTTTTTTCCGTCTGTTTACTTTCGACTCTCCCGCCCACCTGCGACGCGGACGCTCGCAAGGGATGGAACCCGGCGAGGATCGTGGACAAGGTACGACTCTACAGTGTAATCCCGAATGTGGCTCGGGGTTAATGCTTTTGGTAATGAAAATTAACCCCGAGCCACACTCGGGATTACCGCCAGGGAGGTTAAAGAAGAACCCTGGGAAAAACTTTTATTAACTCCTGCAGTGGGGCTACCCCTGCACTTCAAAGTTAAATGCTTGAATTTGTCTAGGTGCTAAAAAAAAAAAAAAACCCAAAAAAACAAAAACTTTATACTCACCCGAACCACTGAACCTGCTGCCTGCTTCTCAGGTCTCTGAAGCCTCTCTCCTCCTCTGCTGCTGCATTGTAAAGTTGCTTGGTGTCTTAACAGCTATACAATGTGTATAGAATGTGACGATTTACGGGACCTTAGACCAGAGGGGGAGAGAGGCTGGAGGGACCGCTGCAAGGGCAAGCCGGCTCTGCAGATCCGGTGAGTATAACTTTTTTTTAGCACCTAGACAAAAACGAGCAGTTAATTATTGAAGTGAGGGGGTAGCCCCACTGCAAGGGTTAATAAACGTTTTGCCCGGAGTTGTTTTTTAAAAGCATAGAGTACCACAGTGTTTTGTACCTTTACTGGATATTCATCACCAACTAGGAGACAAAGATCTGTATCACGTATAATAAAAGGCTAAGCTAATGAAAATAAACATCTTTTGAATTGCCACTTATCGTTATTTCATGTCTATTCTGCCAAATGGAGGCATCCCATAAAGGACTACAGCAGAAGTAAATACCATAAGATCATCTCATGCATGTCCCCCGCAATAAACAATTACAAGCGTTTCTCATCAAACAGTGTGACTGCCCTACAAGGGCTGCTGCTAATTATGAACGCTCCATTTTGTTTATATCTTTGTGGATACTCTAATCATAGTCCATACATAATTCAAAAGGCAACACGGCCATATTCCTTGAGTTATTCAGTGTAATTATTTCATTATTTTGGGGAACGCAAAGCAGGCAGCTAACGGAATCACTACATGAGACCTACAGCAACTATACCCACTTATAGAGTGGTGTAACCTTTCAGCATGACAGCAGGTAGAGGAGCCTGCAACATACCTGTTGAATCGGAGTGTAGCGGACAGTGTGGGAATAATCATAATTATCAATTATTTCAAAGTCTTTTACAGCATCTCCTGGAGTGGGTCCACTGAAGTTCACATCAACGGGGGCTTTTCCTGCCCCTTTGGTATAGACTGTAAAATGTGTCGGCTTCCCATTCTCAACACCTTTAAATATAAGAAAAGGAAGTAAGGAAATTTAGAAGGAGATTTTCTTTAAAGTCAAACTATTCACTAAATGATGCAAGCAGCTCAAGGCAAGAATACTAAGAGTTGTAATGGCAGAGTTGCAAGAGTCTATTCTTATTTGTGGATGTGGACCTTTAAAGGGAAACTATAGATTTTTGCTCAATATGACGTTACTTTACATTTATAAATGGTTATTTTATATCTTTTAATTATTTACATAACATGCAATAAAAGCAACTAAACATTTATTATAAAGCGTTTCCATTTTCTAATGTGTACAGTGAATCCTGGGACTTATACAAGACCACAGTAGCTCTTCACTTGCTAACTGTTCCTACAGACTGAAGATCCCAACATGACCTCCGAGTTGTTCAGATGTATAAAGATATTCATATTCTAGTCAGTGTTATTAGCACAGAAGTACATCAGGAATATAACATCTTAGACTAAAAGGATTGCATGGTCTCCATCTGATTACTGGGCTGAACTTTTTACAAAAAAGAGCTTCTCCTTTGCAGGAGACCTGATTTGTATATAACTTCAGGTGCCAGAGCCAGACATGCAGTTTTCATGAAAGTAACTTTTATCATACATTTTCTTATTATGTGCTGAATCTAAAATGACCAAGTTTACTTTAATCATGCAGTGTCATTTATTTCTAAGTTGGTCAATGTGCAAAGGGGCTCAAGAAAAAAATGTGTAACCGGATGATAAAAAAAAATAGCTACCAATCATGTGGTAGTTTAACGTTGCTACTAATCATATTTTTACATTTGTGACGCATTACATTTTTTAATACATACAGGTCAACAGTTTTGACAAACGTACGGAGTTTCTGTATCACAAACTCACCAGATTTATTAAGTCCTGGTCCTTCAGCCTTCACCTTGCTAGCATCATGTGAAGGGTCAACCTTGATTCTGAAGGGGCTGCTTGGAATTTCCTAAAAATAAATAAATAAAAAAATACAATTTATATATAGATATAATCAATCAATATATGTCAGGGAACTGATTAATTTATACTTCTACCTTGCTGGCGGTAAATAAGAGTAATTATAGAAGTCAAAATGGTTGTAAAAACATTTACAGCTGGATGTGTACCATTCAAAGTGTACCTGTCTTGCTGCATAAAACACAGAGTTAGATGAGTTGAGAAGAAGGTGCCATTTAAGGTACCACATAAAACCTTTAATCTCGCAGCTCACACCCTCCCCGAGAAGAGCACATTAAGTCACTTTGCAAACGCCGACTTTCTTTAAGGCTTAGGGCTCACCCCAACGATCACATGACAATGCCCAAGCCTTACTAATAGCTGCATAGGCTACAAATACTGCCTTGTGGAAGGGGGACAAAGACATTCACCACAAACCTGGAAATATAGGTTTTCAAGGTGGCTCTGGTGGCGCTATACAGGTTTTTTTTTTACAAACAGAATCTAATTATAGGTCCCATGCTACAGTAGTACATGGGCTTTCTCCCACTTTTTAGTGAACGTGTTTCTGCAACAACAGGTCACTTCTTCATCATTGTTGTGTCATTATAGTAGGGATAATAGGGAAGGATTAGGATCGGAGGAGATTCACCCTCTTCATTTTCTCACCTCTCCAGCAAAGAGAGCTTTGATAGTGTATCGCCCGGCACCAGGAGGGGTGTATTTCACAGTAAATGTGTCATTGGCATTGGGAATAATGTCAAAGTCAATGTCCTCCTCTTCTTCACTTATCACACGTGCTTCACACTTGATTCCAACACTGACATCACCTGGAAGACACAGTTTTTAATGAACCTTAAATGCAAAATAGGAATACTGAATATACATTTATAACAGAACATGTACAATGCCAGATACCCAAATTATATTATTTTGTGTTCAAAAAGCACCACTTGCCATGAAGTCAAACTCTTAAAAGAGAACTAAAGGCAAACTTTTTTTGGATCAAAAGGAGTACATTTACTAACGTACTCCTGTGACCCAAAGTCAGCATCTAGCGGGCTACTGGCCACTATTTGCTGACAGCGCAGAGCCACACTGCAACCGGGAAAGATTCCAACAATATTGTCAGGATCCACCCGGCTGACTGATTGACAGCTAGCTCTGCCGCGCTAGAGCCAGCTGTGCCCACTCCCTCCCCTGTCTGTCCCTCCAATGAGCACCTGAGGATCAGAGAGCGGAAGGGGGAATCCCTGCAGGGAGCGGTGACTGACAGTGACCGCTCTCTACAGGAAGAAGATCGTGAGCTGAATGATCTGCGGTTTGCGATTGCTGTGTTCTCAATCTATAGAGCCAGCATGTGACAGCTGTAGTGTACCACGCCGGCTCCAAGTATTAGGAAGAGTACATGTTACTCTCCCAAAACTTCTCCTTTAATCTCCATCAAAATTATAACTCCAACCAAAACCTTTTCTCATTTTGGAAATGGCAAATTACACTGTACACTACAAAGCAATGCCCTCTGTGTAATGGAGATGCTCTTTCACAGATACAGTATATAATGAGTATTTTCACTATAGGACAGGAAGTGTGTTGCTGGCAGGATCACCTGGGGAAATCAAAGGAAACAAGGAAATGAATGCAGCCACCACATATAAGGACTGGTAAGCTGCTATATAATAAATGTCTGCTTTGAGGATAGATATGCTTTAAGATAAGAAAGAAGTAATTTCAAATGCGAACAGATTGGATACCTTCTCCAGCCTCAGTGCAGTCCACTGTGAAGTGCGTAGGCTCATTTGCTTTCAAACCAGTTTTTTCCACCCCAGGGCCGAAAACCTTAACTTTCCGTGGGTGGCTGCCCTGCCCAATGCTTACCTGGGAGAAACAGAGCAAAATGAGTATGTAATATTGGAGAGCAGTAATAAACATAAATAACGAGAAAATAAAACATATTTACTAATTAAATACTTTTCACTTTATTGTAAACAAACTTAAACCTATAAAGTTTCAGCTGGAACATCAGGCAAACGGCTAGATACTAAATGGAAATATATATGCTGTATGTAAATGGTTTTACCTGCCAAAGAATGTCTTACTCTATTATATATTCTGTTCATTCTATTATTTCTGTATTTAACACACTTCTGCCACACAGCAAACCCAAGCAAATGCCAGCAGTGCGGCTCCTGTGCCATCTTCAGCCTACAGTGAATCCATATTCCCACTCTGCTGATACTCTGTCCAATGAGAAGTCAGTTGACACAGGAAAAGGGGAAAATGAACCAGGAAACGGCAAAAACATCCTTCTGGCTACGCAGTGCTGCAAGTGTGTGAATCCCAACATTGAGTGAATGTAAATACAAATCCTTTGGCAAGCAAAACAGTTTACATACAGTATATTGAATCCAACTGTGTATTTAGCCATTTGCCAGGAGGTAAGCTCGAAAAAAAAAAAAATTTAAATTGTAGCAATTCTTTTTTCCCTACACTTAGGGGGTCTATTGATTAAATGACTGACAAAGCCATTAGCCCTCGAATCGATGCGAGTGTTCGTTTTTGCCTTTATTTACTGCATTAGGACCACTGGATAGATCTGAGAAGCCGAGTATTTATTTCCTATGATTCTCCTCTCCATCTAACGCCCATAATGCAGTATTACATTACATTCAACCTGAAAAGAAAATGTACTAAGAACATTGGTTTTTGCCTCTATTTGCACAGAATGAACGTTCAGAGAGATTAAGGGCTAATGCGGACCTAGGCGAACCCTGACCGTGCGGCAATCGTGTACGATACTACGCGGATTGCTGCATGGAGTCGCCCAGCACAGACGGTCGTGCTGTGGGTGCCATTATTTTCTAATGGCAGCCCAGTCGCGCCGGGTGGATCGTGCGGATTCCGCTTGTGCAGCCGAACACAATGGCTGCTAAAACATCCATGCGTCGTGTATCAGAAAAAAAAAAAAGGTACATGTACCTTTATTTCTGTGATTGCCGCGCGGATGTCATCCCATTGAAATAAATGGGGATGCGGACGAATTGCATTGTGCATGACCGCGTGATCACGGGACACGCGACCCCGGATCGCTGAGGTCTGCACAGGGCCTCACCGGGCGAATGACTCTGAACTGTTTATAAAACAGACCCCACAGTACAACCATAATAAGAAATGCAATAATGATAATTGCTTTACAAGATGGAAAAAAAAAGTAATAGTGAAATCATTCTGACTAAACCATAGAGCGGTCATTATTAGGAGTGCAAAGATAATTAAATTATTCTTAGCAAACTTTAATGCATTCATTGTTAGGCGATCAAATATAATAACTGTCACTTACCCTGAAAGGGCTTTTGGGTACACCGACACCGCCCCATGTGACCATAACTGTGTGTTTGATTGGCTTAGCTGGTTTGTACGAGCAGGTGTAGGTACCGTCAGGGTTTGGCTTAGTGTAGATGTCCACAGGATTGCCTTCAATATCCTAGCAACAGTAATAAAATATTCTCTTTAAATTGGAATAATCATATATATGCATTTTTTTGGCTCACATGTACAACTCCGCATTCCTGTGCAACCTGACATTTTCAAGATTCTGTTTTTATTAGAAAGAGGACACGATCAGCATATAACGCATTAGTGTGTAACACGCAGTTATTCCAGGAGGAAGCTGCCAAGTCAACTCATTTTAGTTTCATGGAAAGTCGTTCAGCGTGCTCGGAGTTCAGCGAATGCCAAGAGAAGCTCAGCTAGATTACAACCCTGGACCTCACAGCCACTAGAAGAGGACATTGAGCCATGATAGCCCAGCAAACGGAACCGTGGTCGTTTTATCTGCTGGAATACATTCATCTCTTAAACCGGCTCCACATGCACTTGCATTTTACTGTTTATAGGTCACACTGGCTTTTATATAAAAGGAACACTTCAGTCAAACAAACCCTTTATATTTAAAAGGACTGCTTGTACCTGATGGATACGTTGCCCAACCAGCCCAAAATATTATCCCTATCTAAAAAAAGAACTCATCTCATAACCATCCACTTTCCTCAAACACAATCCCTATGCTAACACCGAGCACTTAAAAAGGGACCTTGTCAACAGCATTACAAATTGCAGGTAAAAGCAAAAAAAATAAATATTTTAAATGCTTACTAGCAAGTGTTTTTGCCTTTCCATAAATGTTTATACTTGCGATGTGTCTTTAAACTTGCTAGAAAATCTGGCTTCTTGGGAAGGAGTCAATTCCCTAGCACATATGTATTCGAGTCCTGCTGCACTCCCGGGTATCCCTGTCAGCGTGGGTGCTCAAAGTGACCGCGGATGGCGCCGCCAATCAGCGCCACTGACATCTTTAACAAATTCCCTAGCACAGCCCCCTCCCTTCCTGCAAGTCACTCTTGTGGAAGTGTCTAATTACTGTCTGATGGCCCAGCTACTCCACCCTACTCTACATAACCTTTTATGTTGGTGCTGGGGGAGAATGAAGAGGAATACTATAGAGCGTGTCACTTGACTATCATCTCCGAGTCCGCTGGGGCTGCTGACATCACATCCAAGATGGGACTTTTGGATGTCTACACAAGGGAGGCTTTTACAGGTAAATAAAAGTGCATAAATACTTTAAATGCACAATCTTATGGGAAGATTAATGTTAAACAAATGGACTGGTGACAGGGCCTCTTAACTCTTACCCATTTTAACTTGAGGCCAAATTACAATACAATAGGGCGGTGTGCTTGTTCATAGTTTTTGCTAATGCTCTTTGTGTGCTGGATAACACACCTGTATTCCCCTCACTGTTTATATTGGATGTCCCCCATAATAATTCTAAGCTATGAAAATGAATCACCGCATTCTGGGCTGCAGCAAATTTTTCTTGTTTAATTACAAGAGGAGTCACCTCTGATATGTTTTGCACTAAAGAGAGCACCTTAAAAAAAAAAAAGAAAAAAAGCCATAGCATAGGAGGAACAAGGTATAGGGAAGTTATGTGACTGTTTGGAGATCTCGTGGCTTGCAGCTCAAACTCTTGTGTTTGAGTTTTGTCAGTGACACGATCTAAATGAGGTTCTTGTTGTATTTGTGTGGGTCTGCACATGGTTTCCACCCACAATCAAAATAACACTTATAGGTTAAGTGGTGTCTAACCACACATTACAATCTGACTTTCAATTTCCTTCAGATCTACCAACACTGTATGTGATTAGTTGTCAAGGAACAAATGTCAATGTCTCCTACTTGTGCATAGACGCTCAAAGGTGCTGTTCCAGCCTCTCTGGGGTCTATGAAAAATTCTGCTGGGTTGTTCACAATGCACCCGCTCTTCTCCAGCCCCGGACCATATGCCTTGACCTACAACGTAGAAATAAATGTATCAAGTACAAAGACAATCCCACAATTTACATTCAAAATTTCCTAAAATGTATTTCAGATTTTTTGTTCCATTTTGGTCTAGTGGTTTCCTATGAAGCATTTCTCTAGGTTATTTGTATTAAATGTGGCAGTTCGTAGATTAGCCTAACAGGCAAGTTACGGCTGGGTCAGTGTAGTTACTCAGTTTCTCTCTTAAATCAACCCTGTCATGAAAAATGGACCCCCTGTTACCCGTAAAAGAAGTCGGTAAACACTCAACTTTACCAATGCCCACACCACCGAGCATTGCTTCACTAACAAGTTCTCGAGCCCCGAAGACTTCTGTGAAACGAATGTTCAGCAGTGTTGACCTCATGAGTTCCCTACAGCTCTTGCCAGTTCCTCCCTTTGACTTCACGACCATATCCTACAGCAACTTGACGTCAGAGGGAGGAACCAGTGAAAGCTGTGAGGGATCTAGAAGATTGACGTCAAGGAATGAGAACTCGTGAACAAGGCAGAACACTGGGATAAGGCAGTATTTACTGACCTCTTCGAGTGGTAAATGAGGATTTTATAATACTTTTTTGCAACAGAGTTGCTTCACTTTCCAAGGCAGTCTGGCTTCCTGACCAATCAGGAACCGGGCAGCATGTCATGACCCACCTCCCTAATTGGCTAGGCAGCTGGCTTCCTTTGTTGCTAGGCAGCATGGCTTCCTGACCAAACAGGAAGCCGGGCGGCAGGTCATGACTTGCCACCCAGCATTCTGGTTGGTCAGGAAGCCAGGCTGCGTAGCAACAAGTGAAGCCAGGCTGCCTAGCCAATCAGGAAGCCGGCAGGTGGGTCAAGGAGTGCCGCCCGGCTTCCCGATTGACCGGAAAGCCAGCTTTATGCTCCCTTGCGGCATTGCCGGTCAGAGGGAATCTACCTCTGACCGGAAGTTACGTTATCGAGGCAAGTATCGGAGCATTTGGGCAAGTATGAGCACTCGCTCAAATACTCGGTACCGGCACCCATACCAATATCGATGCATCCCTAGTAATTAGCAAATTTGGATTCCTCAGAGTACATGTAATTAGAAATTATACATAGGAACAATGTTTTTAAAGCAATAACCCATACTCATAAGAATATATGCAAATTGTTTGCTTATCTACTTTACATGGCAATCTGAAAACCACTAAAAAACATTGAACACCAAATTCCCAAATGCTCAGATGACACTATGGGGAATATTTATAAAGCAGTGAATCTGACATTCAGCAAACATTTTTACAGGTGAAACTTCCAGGCTCATGACTGAGTTAAATGACTGAAAGAGTATCTGGGCAAAATCACTTTCACCGCTTCATAAATAGAGGCCCAGGAGCTATGGAAAGTGTCAGCAGAAGAAAATCTTTGCTTAGGAAAACATGAACTTTGACTGACAGGCCTGTAGCTGGCCATAGCAACTGTTCTATTTTGAACAAAACATAAAGCCGTGATATCATGAAATAGATAATGTTTCCACCTTATCTGGGTTAAAGTCTGCTGATGCTGGCTGGATGTACGCCATGTATGGGCTGTTTTTGATGTCTTCATCGTCGCACATGACATGGACAGCATATTCACCAGGCTCCTTTGGCCAATATTTCACATCACAAGAGCCGTCACTTTGGTCATCACATTCAATCTTGGCCTGAGATGGACCTTCAATGGCAAAACCTGTAGTATGTGTAAGGAGATACTGGTCAAGATCAGGCAATAAAGAAATTAGTTATCTTTAAGGACAGAGATCTTTCGCCTGGTTACCCATGGAAATAATAAAAAATAAAAAATGGATATAATGTGGCTGGGCTTGACCGTCTTCCCGCCCACTCTCAAGCTGAAAGAACAGCGTGGTGGGATAAGCTGCATTTAAAAAAATTACATCATAAGTCTGTTCTACAGAAATTGGAATCAGTTGCCAGTAAGTTCAGGAAGCATTGGATGATCATCATTTAACAGTTTTTAAAAAATGGGAGGAAAAAATTGGGCACCCAATATATTTGCAAACAAAAACTATGCAATGCATGCAATATTATTGGTGCTCCAGCCAGAAACAACCTTCCTGTCCTAGGGTGACATCTTTCACTAACCAACCTGCATCTCCATACCTCCTCATGTATCACTGGTCCTCCTTACCATCTTGTCTTGAATTGTATTGTAATCGCAATGTCTTCCTTATATTGTAAAGCGCTGCGCAAACTATTTGCGCTATATAAATCCTGCATTATAATAATAATAATAATAATAATAATCTAGTGTAGTCATGCTAGGACAGGAAGTGTGTGAGGACTACAGAACAACTTTCCATCTCCTCATCGCCATAACATAAGGGGAGGTGTTTTTTGCAGTCTACAAAGATAACGCAGAACAATGCTAACTGACAACACCGTAGTACATGCAGACTGTAGAAAGTTAGCACATAAAATTTTGTGGTAGGATTTAAAGGTTATTTTTTTGCATGTATTGAACAAATATAACAAAACACATTCAATGATAGAGTTAACAGACCAAAAAAGGAGGAAATGGGAAAAATGTTTATCAGCTTACAAAGTACAAATAGCCATTTACTAGTACAAAAAGGTGAATGCCATTTTATTTAACAACTATACTCAAGGGCTGGGATGTGAAATCAAACAGTCCAGAAATGTGGATAAAACGCCTCTAATACATTAGCATGAACAAGGGCACGGAACATGAGACCATACATGAACTAAAATTAGAAGCAGACACAGCGTATGCTGGACGTAAAAAGATCTCAATAGTCTATTGTGTTTAGACGCCAGGCACAGGTATAAGTGAACAGTACCCCACAGTCCAGACCCTGGCAATAACAGAGGCGCTCACACTTTGATTGTAGCCCCCATGGTCAGGGGTGTTGTGACAGACTGTGCTGTATAGAGCTGGCATCAGGCCATGCGTCAGACATTATAAAAATCACAATACTGTTAAGTAGTTCTCAGCTTGCCTAGGGGCTTCTCCGGTAACTCAATCGTGCTGTTAACTTTTATTATGATAAATGATTTAGGGCCCTTGAAACATTTTCTTAGCATATTCAAAATCCATATTATATACTACAGACCTTGTTCAGAAACTTTATAGAGTAATTCTCGCACACAAACTCCATTATACCAATGGCAAAATTTTCTGAACCCAAGTCCCTGGATCCCCACAAAGACTTTTGGGCCACAGATCTGTACAAACAAATAAACTTGACCTGGTCTAAAAAGCTAGGTCTACAGATTGATCCCTGTGTCCCCACTAAGCTCTTTGGCCCAGGCTGTACATGGGGACTTGACTAGGGCACAGTTGAGGCCAAATGTACAGCTTGAGACTCCACGGGCATCACACAGGTATTTGAAGACACTACAATGCTCTTGCATATTAGCACCATTGTTAAAGGTCAGGTCAGATTCGCTTTAAGAGAAGAACTCCAGGTTTTAGAAAAATTAACCCTTGTAGTTGGGCTACTCCTGTACTGCACAAGTTAACTTTTCATTTTTCTCTGGGGCAAAAATAAAGAAGAAACGCTTAACTGATCCTTGGTCCCCCCTGGTAGCTAGACCGGTCCCTGAAGCCTCTTCTCCTCCCAGGCTCCAGTGGTCCCAAGGCAGCCTTTCTCAACCATGGGGAGACTCAGATATGAAAGTGGGGCTCCTGATGTGAAGGGGGCTACTGATGCAAAGGGTGAATTTGATGTGAAGGGTGGGGGGGTTATTTGAAGGGAGCACTACTATGTGGAGGGGGAAACCCACTTAAAATCCAATACATTTTAGACTGGGGTGCCTCAAGATTTTGCATGCTTTTAAAGGGTGCCATGAATAAAAAAAAGGGTTGAGAAAAGCTGGTCTAAGGACCAGTGACTTTATCATGTCTAATAAAGGTCTATTAGACGGGAAGATGCTGAGGGACATACCCTAGCTGAAGAGGAGGGGGAGACAGTGAGCAGTTACTGCTGCAGGATAGTGGATCGGGTGAGTAAATCTTCTTTATTTTTGCTCTTAGACCCACTGCTGTAGTACAGCAAAGGTTAATTTTTCTAAAATCCAGATTTCCTCTTTAAGCAGAAAAGCTAAGCTAGTTCCCAATCAGGGCTACGTTTCTATGTGCCGAAGCATCCATCTCTAGAACATAAAATGTTTTTGCAATGCCCATCATTAAAGCTCTGCCGATGAAGGCGCGATGAATCTTGGGAGATTTAGTCTAAGTAAAAAGTCCAGGGAAAGCTTTTTAGTGGATAAATATAACCCAAGGCAAGTTGTATACAGCGCAGACACAGACGATCACCAATTGTTAAAACTTACTCGAAATGAGTAGACAAAGTAGAATCACAGACCAGAACAACTCTGCACGAGGAACTCACTCTAACATATGGAGCGAAATGGTTCCAAAGGAGGGGACTGAAATCCCGGAGAAACCCAGGTGGAGGGGTGAGCGATTAGAGAAAATGGCCTTTCTTTTGTACTGTACGGTTGGGGGCATGTAATTGGAGAGATATTTTTAGAATATTGAACTGGGACTGAAGTACGCTGGTGAATTATTGATCTAAAAAAAAATAATCTGTGCCCGAGAGATTCCAGGTGGAAAAATCCATATGACTTTCCGCTAGAACGTTTACAATATTTGCTAACTATACAAGCATTCCAGGGAGTGAGCGCCCTGTGCGGAGTTGTTCTGGTTTGTTATTGTTGCTCAGTGGACAGCACAGGGAGCGAAGAATCATTATGCAAAGAGGTAAATAATCCTCGATTGCAGATTTAAATGTATGGCTGTACATATATGGGGAAAATGGAAACTTGCTTTGAGATTGATAGTTTAAGGACACTTTAATGTAAGCAAAAGCAGCATTTCAATACAAGAAAACTGCCGGACATTTCTTTAGAATATATAATCAGAAAGCAAACACCTAGGAACATGCTCTGATAGAAGTATTAGGTTCTGTGGCAGTAAAGTGAAAATCTATAAACTGCGTCACCGCCCTGAAACCAATAAGAAGCACATCAGAGACCGGCTACTTCCATTACAGCGTGATCACATGGTGGCATTGCTGTGTGAAAGTCATGTTCACAAACGGGCAAGTGACTCTACCAGCGTCCAATTGAAAGTAATGTGTTGTAACTGGTTTTAGATAAACTCTTCTTTAATGTACTGGAAAAAAGGAAGCCATACCAGAAAAATAAACTTGAGGACATTTATTAAATACATTTTATAGTTAAAAGTAGGCTCTAAAACACATACAGGGAACATGACCTCCATGAGCAAAAGCACAATTCTTCATCCAGGCAGAATTGTAGTCTAAAAATTCACCACAAATCTTTTATTGGTATTCCAATGATCTGGGAACCATTTTGTCCATCATGCAGGACAAGTATTCCCAGACACTCCTACAGTTGGCTCCTTGGTGTTTCTCCCATACACAAAGTCTGATGTTTCAAAGTGCCAAAACTAGTGATGTGCGATGGCTTTGTGCGATCCAAGTTCACCCGAGTTTAACCCAAGCCCATACAAAACTGTCACTGACAGACACCCCTCCAGGGCTACATAACCGAATGGACCGGGAAGGTTGTGTCAGTTAACATTTTAAGCAGGCCTAGGCGCACTTCACTAGTCAGCACAAAGTTGTTTTTTCCTATGACAGCCACTAATCAAATCAAAACCTTCCCGGGAAGTTTTAAAGTGATTGGTAATGCATCAGATGGCGAAGGAGGAAATTACAGTCCACAGATCAGAAGCAGACCCATCCTTCCCATATGTAAAGGGTTCTGTTGAATCTACTTGCAATGGACTACATAAAACTCAGATTAAGGCCAATTTAGGGGACACACTGACTTTGCACAACTACAATAAATTAAAAAAATTAAAAAAACACTAGCATTTTTTTTTTTTTATATAGAGCATAAAAGACATACTGCAAAGTCACAACCCAAAAAAAGTGATTAAAATTAGAAGTAACCTTAAGATGACAATGGGACACATGAACACAAGGCAAAAACCAGACGACTGCCTAGCAAAGGCCAGCCAACAACTCAAGTTCTTGAAAAAAAAATTACTAAAAGGACAACTCAGGAAGGAGGTCAAATGTGAACCACAGGGGTCGTTGGAAAGCGTTCTGATGGTGTACCAGGAAGTCAAAGCAAAGCTTTGTATTATCTCTCGCTTATTTAAAGTTGCTAAAGTATCAACAAATGACTCCCACACCTCAAAAAAACTTCTGTGTCTCCTTCTACAGTTTCGTTGGCTCGGTCCAATTTATTTGAAAGACCAACATCAGTTTATCCAAGAAAAGGTTAAGTGAAACTGCTTCGAGATCCATTTATGGAGGATCGCCTTATTTGCCACTAATGATATCATAGATACAAGCTTTCTACTACACACTGTGATTTAAGCTCCTTGACATTCAAAAGATACCAAGTACTGCCCAAGCTAATTTGATAAATTGCCAGTAACTGAATAAAGCAGGGAACTGTGTGCTTAAAGTATATGTAAAGCCATTTTTTTTTAGTTTTGGCTAGTTTAGGGAAGGGATAAAACCTCTGTCAGGATATTTTTTGTCTGTGCCCTAGTGGGGAAATTTCCCTTCACTTCCTGTCTCAAAGATGCAACAGGAAGTGGGAGGAAATCACCCTAAAGCAAAAGGAAATTCCCATCTTAGCTGTCACAGAAACAATTGTCCACACTGGAAGATTTCCCTTCATTTCTAGCTGTCAAGACAACTCTAAAATGTAAGATTTCCACTTACCTTTTATTAGGGACAGTGGTCACCGGGATAATTAAAGTGGTAAATGTCCCCACCAATGACAAAAAATGTTTTTGCATATTTGACATAAGTGCCATTAGCATGAGCACAGAGCCTCCCCATTCAGAGTATGCGTTTGTTCTATAAATATTCCCCCCAATGCAGTTATGTTTGAAACCCAAATTTGTGGTTCTAGAAACCAAAACATTTATTCTGACATATTCTGCTGTGGCCCTTTCGGAATGTAGCAAGAATAATCCCACAAGGTCACCGCTGCCGCCCTCTGCGCTCTGCCGCCCCGAGGCCGGGCCTCGGTGGCCTTGTGGGAAATCCGGGCCTGTTCACATCATAACTATGCAAGACATGTGGAGTCTTTTGTGCGTCTTGAGTAGCTCCCACTGTGGTGACTGTCAGAATAATGGCCCCTGTTTCTGAAGGGTTCTGGTATGGAACGCATATTGTTGTGTTGTCACTATCTTGGTACACGAGCAAGACCCATCATCGTCTGTTTTAGCATGGCAAATATAAAATGGCAGAATCCATGCCCACTATCCTGGAGCAGGAGGCAGTAAAATAAATGCTCCGCTTATCAATGGCTGCTTTGTGTCTGTGTTACTTAGACTACATAGACAGAATGCCAAAACACAGTCTGGTTGTAAAGAAGAACTCCATCTAAAAATGACCATGCTGCAAACATATACCATTGTTAAAAGGTTTGAACCTACAAACGAGCTACTCTGGCAAGCCAGAAAACATGAATAACCGTTGTCTTCAAATGAGTCATGCACAGATAGACAGGTTGGGGTAGGGAGTTCCAGAGGATGGGAGAGACTCTGGAGAAGTCCTACGGGCAACCATGAGAGGAGGTAATGAGGAAGCTATAGAATGGGAGGAGTGGAGTGGACAGACTAGGTGATATTTTTGAGATGAGGTTTGGGATGTAGCTTGGGACAGAGTTATGGATGGCTTTGTATGTTGCTGTTGATATTTTGAATTCCATTTGTTGGGCAAAGAGAAGCCAGTGGAGGGATTGGCAGGGAGGAGTAGTGGATACTAAACAGCTGGTAAGGTGTCTTTTGCTGTATGACCGGAGGCTTTTGCCTTTTGCTGTATGCCTTTTATTTAGACAGCAAGAAGAAGACACACAGAAATGCTACTACTTTGTTTTTTTAGCCTCTCAGTTACTGCTAGAGCCATGTGTACCCCGAAAAAAGTATGGCTCCTTTACAACCTTCTGTTCCGTTGTGAAGTGTTAGCGTATGGTATTGCACATGTTACTGTCTGGTGTTAAGACAACCTATTCACTTGAAATGGGCTTCCAACACATGGCAATGGGACAAAAAGCAAACCTGCACTTTTTTCTTTAACACAGCACACCACAATGCATGTGTTGCAAGTGGTGTGTGTTAACTTGTGTCGCAGTAACTGCACGGTGTTCCACTGCATAGACTGACTAAAGCCAGCCTAAGAGTTTTACAAAGACAGGAACATTGTAGAGGGGTTTTAGTAGAGGGGATAACCCAGATATAAAAAGTTCCTCTGGCATCTTACTTTAAATAAGCTAAAAACTGTTTGGCTGGGTTCACACCTAGGCGGATTGAAAATGCACGTTTTTCTAACCGCGAATCGCGGTTAAAAAAACGCGCGAAAAACACGTGTTTCCGAGGGATACCTGGCTGTATCCCAATGGAACCGCCCGACCAAAACGCCCCAAAGAAGTACATGTACTTCTTTGGGCGTAGGGCGGTTTCCCGCACGTTCGTACTCGCGGAAAACCGCCCAGATGGGAACCATGCACATTGAAAATAATGGCATTTCCCTGTTTGAGCGTTTTTCCGCGAGTACAAAAGTGCGGAAAAACGCCTAGGTGTGAACCCAGCCTTTGAGCTTAATAACCCAAAAGCAATATCAATATGAGGGCAAAATTTACAGTTTCAAAAATTAGTTGTGGAAGGACACAACAGTTTACAGTAAGAAATAAGTGAATGCTTTAAGAACTTTACGAAGGCCAAAATTGTTCTGTCATCTTAAAAGTAAACTCTGTTCAAACAAAATAAATTTGCATTGAAACCGACTCAAGGACAAAGCATTCTTGCTGAATGGCACTAATATTCACCCTGGTGTTCCATCACCTACAACTCTCTGCCAAAATAGATAAATCCATATATTGCTGGCATCTCTGAATTTTAAACATCCCTGGATCGATCGAGAGAGAGAGAGAGATTTTTTTTCTCTAGTCTAGTCTTGGAGCTGGAAAAGTATCTGTACATGTACTAAGTACGGTACTTGGTATCTGAACATCCCTACTAGAAATGGAGCAGAAATGAAATTCCAGGCCATCCTGCCAGCTAGCTTAAAGTTGGCCATAACTGTTCCAGTTTCGTCCGATTCACAGGAATCGGCCAACATTCCAACAAGGGGGTGGCTTTGCCAGCTCAACAAAAGTTGATTAATCAGTTAATGCTTGACGCAGGAGCCAGGCTTAAAATCAATGGCAAACGTTGACTGCAGCCAATGAGCCGTAGTCACTGTTTGGATATTCTAGCAGCAGGGGACACCAACTGTCTAAATACAATAGCCTGGTAGTGGAGATTCATCCATCCACACTGTTGAAGGGTGGATGAAGGAATCTGTTAAGATTTCTTTGGTTCAGCACTCAGGCTGAACCAAATAAATGTTTTTGTGTATGGCCAGCTTAATGGTACTCCGCACTGTGAAATTATAGCTGGGTTGCCATTTATTGAACAGACCATAAGGCTTTGCTACAAAAGGGACTCTGCAATCTTCCTGCTATATGGGCCAAGTTGCAATTGCTTTTCCTCTAAAGGTACAGAAGCCACAAAGGTTGCACTGATCCATGGTATTTGCACACAGTTGCAGCAGTGGGTAATCATTTGCAGCTGTCAGAAGCCCCTGTAACTACGAAACTCTATCACAGTAGAGAGAAGGGTAAGGTTGAGAGAGAATGCAAAGCATGAAGCGAAACCACATAAAAGCCAGTCAGTCAATGTGTGTGTGCATTCCTTTAGTGCACGCCATTAAAATGCAGTAAAAGCTGCATAAAAAGGCAGCAAACAAATTTCTAGTGTAGAGCTTGTATACCAACAATTTATTCCTAGCATTACTCAGACACCCAACAATAAATTGATGAAATCATAACATACACACATATATATATATATATACATATTAGCGCTGCGGAAATTAACGATTAATTTCTCGATCGTTAAACTTTTTGATCGATTAAAATTATTTTGATCGCTAATGAAAAACACTCAACTCTCTGCCGGCTTCCGGGAGTCCCGTCAGCGATCCGGTGACGTCATGGACATCGACGTCACCGGACTTCTCCCCCTTCCCCGAGTGGCTATGTCGGCTAACCGAGGGAAGGGGAGAGGAGTCCGGTGATGTCGATTTCCGTGATGTCACCGGACTCCTCCCCCTTCCCTTTGTTAGCCGACGGAGCCACTTGGGCTGGTGAGTTTGCCCAAGGAACTTTCTGCACGAGCGCCAGCCAAGGCATTGGCCTATACACTTACAGCACATACACATTATATATATATATATATATACACACACACACACACATACATATATACATACATATACACACACACATTCCACAGTTAGTCACAAAGGGAATGAATGATCTTGCAGCAATGCAGTCACAGAACCACCTGTGCAGATCGGTCTTTATACAATTCCATGAACTGAATACGTATTTGAACATTTCAAAAGCTTACCTAATGAACCCACATCTGGGCCAATGGACTCCACTATAAAGTCTGCTGATTTCCCAACGACACCACCAGAGAGACCAGGGCCCCATGCTCGTACTTTCTGAGGTCCTGCCTCGGGCCCTACCTGAACTTCAAATGGGCTGAGAGGACAAATATAAAGAAAAAAAGGTCAAGTAACTATGTATATAGTATGGACAATATAAAACATAATGGCTGTGTTAATGCTAGTGACAGACTAAAGTATTTAGGTTATTTTAAAATTGCTCCCATAGTTTCACTTTAAAGTAATAAAGATTTGCTTGGTCTTGGCCCCTTTTGCCTCCCATTTTCACTATTGGTGAGTGAAGCTGCCAATCGGAACTTTTCTCATGAATCAAAAATCATGTGGGCAGGGAGGATTTGTATTGCAGAGTAGACCTACTTCAGGCTCAATTCACAAAGCTAAAAACACCAAGATAATGACAGTTATAGTGGAAAAAGTGACAGTTATTTTCAGCCTAGTCCAACGAGATGGGAAAATTACAGTCACATGATTGAAAATAAAGATACTTATCCTTGTGTGATGCTTTGTGAATTGAGTCTTATGCCTCTTCTACAATAAAGGTTTCTTTTGGCAAGCTGCTTTGGAATGTAGACAGAACTGCTCATGCACAGCTCAGTATACATTCTCGGCACACCTTGATGCCATGATAAATTAACTTTGTGTACATAAATGGGGATTATGTTATTCCAGCCTGGTCAGCTGAGAAGGCCAAAAACCTCAAACGAAGCCAGAGAGAAGATATCAGCACCATCAAGGGAGCTCTCAGATGTTGCATTGTTAGAGGGGAAAGTACTGAAGCGGTTAGTTGCGTTTTATGGGCCTAAAGTTGCTATTTACATATAAGAATTTAAGGTTTCAGACCTTCCATGATGCTTTGGCAGCTATATAAAGATATAGTCAGCCACCACTATTATTATTATACAGGATTTATATAGCGCCAACAGTTTGTGCAGCGCTTTACAATACAAGGAAGACATTACAATCACAATACAATTCAAGACAAGATGGTAAGGAGGGCCCTGCCCATGAGGGCTTATAATATAAAAAAGAGGGGAAAGATACATGGGGCAAGTGATGCACTAGATGCCTGCTTTGTATACCTGCCTGCATACTATTACTTTTAAGTTAAACAGGTTGACATCAGAGCACTGAAAAACATGAAAGGTGCAATAACCCACAACAGCCAACTACATATTAGTTTACTCAAGTGAGGTAAGCGAAAGACACATTCCGATCGGCCAAAAATCAGTTAATGAACATCAGTGCTCTTTATGATAACGCTAAACTTACCCCAATGAATGCGTTTCATAAACCAAACCTGATCAATTAATTAAAAATACTTCCTTATTGAACCTTTTTAAAACAACATCTACAGTATTTAAACCAAACCTCATCTATTATTTTGTTACCAACAGCAACATTTATTATAGCAGGCCCACACTTGGACACCATTGCATTGCTGAGTTTTCTTCACCCTCTATGCTGCTCTACATTTTTAATAGAGATGTAGATCATAGATCCAGTCTGCAAGCTACTGAAGATTCCTGTATTAGGATGTTCTACTTTATTACTCTAAAATTTTCAATAGAGCCTTATTCTTCATAAAAAATCCTAAATTCAAATAATAATGCAGCCCCCTTCTGCTGTACAAGATGATGCCCTAAATGGAAGAATGCCTCCCTCTCTGGCATGTTTCCAAATTATTTAAACATCTTGCTAGAATGAAAGACTTGGGTAGAAGAGAAAAAGTATTCCCAGCGACCTTTGCATAGTGTTCACACAATGATCAACCCCAGGACTTGGTTAATGATTTTCTGTATATAACAGAGACTAGGATATCCTTCTCCTGCGGTGAATCTGGAATTTTATGTAACCTAGAAACTTGGAGGCTGTTGCCAGGATTGTTTTGGAATTCAAATGCAAAGCCTAAACTTCTGCTTAAAGCAACCCTGTCACCAACTTCTTCCAATGTCACTAAGGGGCATATTAATAAAGTAGTGAATGTGACATGCACTGCAGGCAAATCTTCCTGCTGTTTGTGTTTGAAATTACAAGGAATTGTTAACCACCAGTGACTGTTTGGTGAATGTCCCATCCCGTACCTCTGCAATACGCCTTTAAAGACTACAGAAGAAGAGAAATACTTCCCTTTCTGGTTGGCAGCATTCTAAAACTTGACTGTATTGCAGATCTTCATCCACGGCTGGAAGCCAACATTTCTCGGGGGTGGAGGGGACGGGGGGGTTGACTACTTAGTCTCCCACCATGCACTATGGTTCCTCCTGTCAGCCCTACATCACTACCGCACACATTCGTGACCTAAGTGTCAGTCAGTGTGAGGGAAGAAAATAGGTCACCAGATGTGACATCTCTTGCCTTGAAGAAGGGACCCACAGGGAAGAAGGGACCCTGTGTGGCCCCGAAACGTCGGCTCATGTTGGATTTCTGTAACATCATTGTCCATTAAAAGGACTCATTCATTTTAACTTATGGAGTGCTGGTGACCTATTTTCTTCAATCTTGTGTTTTGCACAGTGCCATCCGTGAAGTTACTTCGAGCACCATTTATTTGATTGTTGGCCGGGACTGCTGAAAGGTGTGCGGAGGGCACCTCCATCAATTGCATCTGAGTCAGTGTGAGGGAACACAGTGTGAAGCGGTTCCAAGACATTCTGTGTCTCTCCTCTCCAATCACGGAATGTCTTATATTCTTTAAAAAAAAAAAAAATACAAGACATTTTGTAAATGGAGGATAGTGAGGAGGGATGATGTCAGCAGTCCCAGCAGACTCAGAGCTGTGACTCAACACACTATAGCATTCCCATTAGCTCTTTTCATGACAGCTACATAGAAGGTTGTGTAGGGAGATGAAAGGAAGGATGGAGGAGCTGAGCCACCACAGAGAGTATTTAGACGCTCACAGAAGAGGACAGGGGCTACGATATGCAAGAAATGAGCAGGTTGTGCTTTGACTCTTCTGAAGTGCTCAAATTTTCTAACAAGTTCAAAGGTACATTGAAAAATTATATCATACAAGATAGAAAACATAAGTGAACAAAAGTGCATTTCACATTTTGGCCTGGAATTGTTCTTTAATCGTCACAGCAAAGCTAACTTGAAATAAACACATTCCCTAGTGACAATCCAGAATATATGACGAAATACATTCCACACCATCCCAAACAAATCTGAACCGTACATTGCATCTAAGCACACCATGTTTCATTTAAAGTGACATTAAACCCTCAGATTTGTTAACATAAACCAATACTGTAATGTAATCCATGGTTGTTTTCCTTCTCGTTGCTGCTCATTCTTTTAAATCTGTATCTCTTCTCATGCTGGGCAGAACTTCTGTTTTGCAGCAGTCTGCCTTGTCTCTGAAATGGATACATGGAGTCTTTGTGAAGGTCCACAACCTGAGCCAGCACTACAGGAAGAGGCACTCAGCTGCAAAGGGAAGTTCTCCCCAAGCATGAGAAGAGATACAGATTTAAAAGGAAGAGCAGCAAAGAGAAGGGAAACAACCATGGATTACAGTAAGGCACACATTACAGTATTGGTTTATGTTAAAAAATCTGAGGGTTTAATGTCACTTTAAAGGTTACATATTTCTAAAGGCCACTGCAAACATCTCCATCCATAGACCGGGCATGCTATTAAATATTTACAAGACAAGACCCTCATCTTACCTTTTAGGTATGTGATGGCCGCCCCAAGTAATGGTGACCACATATTTCCCAGGGTTCAGGGGGTAATATTCAAACATATACACTCCATCTACGGCCTCCAACTGCTTCACAGGCTCATCCACACCCTCTGCCAAAACATGTCAACACAATGTTAGCTTTATCTGAAAAGCAGCTTGCAGCCACGAAAGAAGAGTAGACAAAATGATATCTCTAAGAAGAAGTGCTGACATTTTCAAACCTCGGACAGGATAACCACAGACTCCAAGATTGTAGATGCTATTGACAAAGCTGGGGATAGGTCTGGAACGTCGAATATTCTCAGCGCTATCAACATCTGTGCAAATTTGCGGTTCACTAAACAGGACATTGTATGGTATCTATACACAGATGTACAGGCTTTCTACTGATAGAGACAAAGACACAGAACACATTGGATACAGCTATCACTATCATGAGATGTCTCAGGAGTTCTGATGTCCCACTAGGGAACAATTAACTGGCTGTCCAGCATTTTACTTGCCGTCATATTTTCATAAATTTTATTATTTTGTTACACCTTTGTGGTCAACAAGGCCAATCTCCTATTAATTTCTGTGGCGAGTTCGTACTTCATGCTTTAGCAGAGTACAAACTTTCCATAGGAATAAAGGAGAGTGCACAGTGCTTTGTAATTCGGACCATATGAAGAATGGAGGTCACACGTGAAACATGAAGGTAAAACAGTGCAGAGCAACCAGTCAGTATAACATGAAAAAATTAACCCATTGGCTGATAAGGGCAATTCTTACAGGTTATACAAATCAACACATCTCAAAATCACCTATTGTGACAAATAAGGTAGGTTAGGGATAATGTGTATGTTGCACCTGGACTGTGGCCCTTCCGGAGTTAAAAAAGATAAAAAAGACAAAGGGTGGAGGCTCTGACTGAGAGGCCATGGGTACGTGACAAAGGGTGGGGCCTGTGAATGAGAGACCACTGGTGCCTGACCAATGGTGTGGGCCTGTGGGAGAGATGCAACAAGTGCCTGACAAAGGGTGGGGCCTCTGGGTAAGTGGCCACAGGAACCTGATAAATCGTGGGGCCTCTCATTGTAAGGAGGAGTTAGACTAGCAATGCAGCAGAAGGAACTATGCTAACCTATCAGACAGTTGAAACTGTTGGCCAGGAAGCTAAAACATTTATGTTCTGGTTCTGCTTAAAGGGCCTCCCATAAAGGAACATTTTGTATTGAAGAATAAGAGTTGGTAGGAAAACTCTTAATCATACATTTTTTTGCCTGTGGACTGCTATGTTGAGATCTGTGTCCCTTGCCTTTTGATACTAATCTCACGTTATATACATGAAGACAGCCAGCACTTTAATGCACAAGATGAAAGCTCTACTGTGGTTTACACATCAGAGGGCTTACATACCTCTTCCTCTAAGTGAAAGGTACAGCTTTCTCCTACAGGAGGTGTTCTGCGAGTCCCTGAAACTTTGATGTGGTTAACACAAATTCTTTAAAGTGCTAGCTGTCTTTATGTATACTGCTACAGAGTACCTCTGAGTTGTCCACCCTCACACAGTACAAGCATTGATAGACATCAACAAATTGTCCACTTATAGATAAATCATGGATGGCAACAGTAACTGCTTAATAACTTAGCGGTGCGTGAATGCCAGGTAATCTTTAAAGTGTAGCAAAGGTAGAACTAGGTGGGCGACTAGGCCCCTGGCTTCTTAAATGTCTTAGCTAAATTGAGTTTGGAACTTTAGCAAGGATATCCCACTGTTTCCATATCTAACAGTTTTAGGTGTTGCCACACACATTTGATATCCTCTTGCACTTTCCATAATATAAAATAAATGAAAGATCCAAAAAGGGACGGTAGGAACCCCTCAAAACAGCCATATCGGGTGTGCAAACTGAGCACATACTGGGGCTCGGTCTGAACCACCTGGCGGTGATACTTGATGAATTCAAAAGTAGTTGAAATTGCCATGTCTATGGCTAGCTTTACAACTCAGCGCACTGACTAATATGTGCATGATGCTACAGTGATTCCAGGGGTTTCCTCCGCTGTAGGCTGCACTGACATACTGACTAATCCGACAAAATATTTGCCTGCATTGTATGTTGATGACACGTGTTCAAAAATTCTAAAACATGTAAGCCTTACAATGCCTCTATAAATAAGTTTAAAAAAAACACAAAAAACAACAACCTAAAATAAATCTGTCCCATTGACAAAAAATGATCTATCCCTCAGAGAACAATAAAACATTATTATTCTAGAGTTTCAACAGACAGCACTTTGTCATGTCCACTCCTTATTCCAAGAGCAGAGAGAAAATAGCTGTGATATCAATTACCTAGACAAGTTATTTTATTTGGCTGCAACAGAGGGGACATTTTTGAATTAAAGTATTATAGTAAATAGACCCCAAGACATTGGGAGTGCTTGCATAGAGTTAAACAATAGCAGACACTTACTTGGCCCCTTCACTGAAACATGGAGGTCACCACTTCCTGCAGTCCTGGTGTCGACCTTAAAATCAGCAGTTTCTCTAATCCGGACGCCTTTGGGCTGCAAGCCACGTCCGCTGGCTCGACAAGCGTTTGGGTTGCAGGCTGTTGACAGGGAAAAAGATAGTAAAACTTACTCAGACATTCAAATACGGATAATACTATCTGTACAATAGCGAAAATGTTCGCCACGCGTCAGATAGGACAGTGCAGGCAGGCATATTAGTCAAAATAGATAAAGCAGGCCTTGGTGAAAGTACGGAATTGTGACACACCACACACAGACTACGAACAGAAAGCTTCTGGGTGTTAGGATACAAACTATTTCACAGGTAGAACAAAATGTAACTAGATGTAAGTTACACTTAATGGGAGATATAGAAGCAACTGTGAACTTGTTTTTGAAGTTGCATGCTCTAGAGCTGCCATACTTCCTTTTATTTCACTACCTGCTGAATTAGCAACTCAAAACAAGCATGCCACCGTAGAATAACCAGGACACCATGGTTTGTATCTCAGCCCAAAGCAAGCCCCAGTAGAAACTGGAATATAAAGGACTACTTAACTTTAAGAGTGAACTTCCCTGCCTATGAATTGCTTTAATATTATGAAAATGTGAAATAATGAAAAGAAAACCTATGGTTTTCATTATGCAACATATATATTGCCATTACACATGCTACGATAAATGGAAAAATAATACTACAATTGCTACGGTTGGACTATGTTGTGACTGCCTAGGTGGGGGATGGAGGGGGAAGTGAAGGACGCTTATGCTTACAACTACAGTGAGATTATGAGCACCACACCTGCAATAAACATTGGGTAATTATGTTATGTTGCATCACCAACTACATGAGATGCTGCAAGGCTGGAGCTGTTCAAGGTGGAACCCAAAATCTAGACTTTATTTAAGTCACTAAGGCATTCTACCACCAGGAACGCTAATGTCTTCCTAGAAGCAAACACCCCTCATTGCATTATTTTGTTACAAGTTTTTGTAATAATACTCAAAAGTACTGAGATATCGTCGAGATGTGCAGGCTTTTTTCCGATTGTCAAAATAATCTTTCTGTACACATGCACATTCGGTCTTTGGAAGAGATTGAGAAGATACCCCTTTGGTGTTGCTCATCTCAACAACAAAAAAATAGCAAAAACATTAGTGATAGGTTGGGAAAATTAGAAAATCCCACCTAGAAATTATCCCCCCAAAAAAGGCCAGTCTGGCTGTATCTGGAGAGGCTACAGAGTGCCCATAGGTATACAACCCATTAATAAATTAAATTATGTTAGGGGACACATTTTACCACACACGTATTAATATGATTAAAGTCTATCGATTTGTCTCTCTCAAAAAGGACCGGAGATAAAACAGATGTCTATAGATGGTCTGTGGGGTCTACTGCAACCAGATTCCAGCTTTCGCTGTATTATAAAGATTAAAATGATAGCTTGAATATAATTTGTCGCTGTTGGCTATGCAAACTTTTAGCCCCACTGTACTTATTGAAGCATAGACAGGAATGAGAAGGGCATGCTGGTAATAAAGTCCTATGACTGAGAGTCACAGATGGCCTCACTGCTTTAAGACATTGGAAAGACCACCAGTTGCGTCCCACTATCCGTCCTCAGCACAAAGACAAAATATGCTTCAGGTACATTATAGCCTAAAGAAAAACTAACACTAGACTAAGAATGTTTCATTAGCAGCTTACAGTGAAACATCTAAAACAGAACCACAAATGGAAATAATGTATATTTACACCAGCAGGGCCTGTAAAATCCAGACAGGAAGCTACAGTCATGTCTACGAGGGGAATGAGCAAAGGGAGAGGGATCTGAGGTCGCCAGCTGATAGAAACAGTAACAACACTTTCAGGGAATACCAGTCTTCACAATGGATGTAACCATGACAAGCATTCAACCAATCTGGGACCTCCGTGGCACCATCTGGAGGCTCAAACAAGGTATGTGTGAATAATTAGCTGACTTATTTTATAGGTATTGCCCTGTGTGGTCCTCTGTGGGAAATGAATGTATAACTCAGCTGAAACTTATTACAGAAGATCTAAAAACTTACTGCTATGAAGAACCACATTAGCAACAGTCCGAAGACAAATATACCAATTACAATGATCTCACATTATTTATTTTACACCCTACGAAATAATATGCTCAATAGACAGTGTAAGGACATGTCTGTCACACGTCTTTCAGCAGCCCGACTTTGATGTCGGCTCTTGGGGAGACAGTATTAAATACTGGGCCTTGCTGAGACTTTTATTAGTATGTTTAGGACCTGTGAAGGATATTGGATGATGGCAACCATCGGAATAATGTGCATTTTGCAGCAAAGGGTATAAAAAGGGTACAAACTGTCCCAGACCCAGCAAGTCTTGACAGTCCAAGAGCATCTGGCGTTCATGTTACCATGGTAGTTCCAATGGCAGTATCTAGGCTTCTGATTGGTGGATACAGAGAATACATTTTGCACATGACGGACTGAGGCATGTAACTATTATTTTGGACACAGACACACACACATAAAAATAAACAAGGGGATGAAATCCAAGCAGCAACCTGCAAACTCTTACCAGCCCTGGCCTGTACACAACTATGAGGCATAAGCTGCGCCGTCCATTATCCCACAAGAGCAGGAGAGATCAGAAGAGGGAAGCAGAGATCTGCAGCAGCAGGAAGGAGGAAGCAGATGAAAGCAAAGCAGTAGAAAGCAAAAAGAGAAATCTCAACAGAGCAAGAAGCCAAGTATCACATCATTGTATAGATCATGAAATATTGCTAAACTAAAAACTGGTAGGATCTCAGGAAGAAGCAGTCAAGCAAATCACATTAACAAAATCATCTCCATCCTCAACCACTGCATATGAAAGTTCCAGCAAATTTGTTTTTTGATCAGTGTACTTTCAGTTTCACCATTTATAGAACAATTGATGCATGATATATACAGTATTGCCAATTATCCCTTATATTCGGAGACAGTACCAGGTTTTTTCTCTCATTTTCATTTAAAATTGTTACCTTTATCACAAGATTGCATAACTGGACTGTATTCAGTTTTTTTTAATCTGTGTCCTTTTGGTGTTTTCATTTAAAGTGGACCTTTTAATGAAAAACAGAAGGTCCGCTTTCTTGCCAACCCCCGCTACCCAAGGAAAACTAGCTGAGAAGAAAAATGATTTCATACCAAAAAACAAACAACAACAACAACAACAAAAACCCTCGGTCCAGATTTCCGCCACTTCTGGCAGGTCCAGGTGACATCCCTGTACCTCAAAACAGCCCCTATAAATACCTCAAACGGTTCCCAGTCCATTGCTGATGTGAATTCCCGTGTCCAAGAGGCAGCCATCTGCTCTTGCTGGAAGAGTTCAAATCTGGGACCAGGATATTTTTTCAGCTTTTGTTCTTGTGAAGTCTTAACTTTCAATTTTATTTTTTTTGTAGCCATTTTCTGTTTGGGCAGCAGGGGGATTACAGTAAAGCCAACCCTCCATTTGAATGAAAGGTCCGCTTAAGGCCTTGTTCACACCAAGCGTGGAGCAGGTGCAGAGCAGAGCCGTTGCAGAACAGATCAAAACTGCGTCCAATGTATTCCAATGGTATTTTTTGCTCCAGTTCACATCGCAGCGTGCAGTTCCAGAGCAGGTGAAAGAACTGCAGCAAGCCCCATTTTACCTGCTCTGGAACGCATGCAAACGCATCAAAAACGCATGCAAATGCCTGGAACGCACTGAAAGCCCATGTTAAACTAAAAAAAAATAATATATTTTTTTTTAACCAAAAACGTCCAGGAACGCATCAAAAACACGGCACAACGCACTGCGTGTGCAGAAACCTGAGCAGATCTGCTCTGCATTTGGTGTGAACAAGGCCTTACTGTTGTGCCAGAGTTGGCAACTTAGGAGGGTCAGCAATCTGAGCAATTTGGCTCTGAAATGCTTTGCACAGTGCTGACAGTCTAACCCTGTGAACATGCTTACAGGAGGGGAAAGCACATGGATAACTATGGCTCCTTTGTTGTCCAATAACAAGCTGGGGTGGGTCCAAAACCAAACAGTATTTGTTAACTGTACTGTAGTCTACAGGAAGGTCCAAGTAAAAATATATGGCTGTATTTCCCAGTAAGCAAGTTTATTGTATCTGTACGTATAATGAGAACCAATACCACGCTATGCAGCAGTTCACAATATATCGATATACTGTATACAGTTTTATGTATCGTAAAGGCTAAAGCAGTCTTGACATCCCTTCAAAGCTTTGCCAGTAATGACATCCCTAACACTTCATTTCCTGTTCACTGGAGCTACAGAGACTAAAATCTTTGCAATGCAACAGTGAAACCTGCTAATCTGACTGCTACGGAATAGCTTTGAGTTAGCACTTTGCTAATGCCCCAGTTCATCTTTTTTTTTTTCTATAGATATTTAACTATTACAGAGTCCTCCCTAAATGTTGGTCCTTAGACATGCAAATTTTCAGATTCAGGTTTGAAGGAAGCTATTAAACTGATTTGTGGAAAACAGTGCACAGGAGTTTTATACAAAACTTTGATACTTACGTTCCCCAACGTTGACCACATAAGGACTTTTAGGTATTGCTTCCCCACCAAATGTGACACTGACAGAATGAGGTCCAGGCTTTACTGGCTTGTAGGTGCATCGAAATACACAATTTCCTTTATCTTCAAGGGCAATATCCACAGTATTGTTTCTCCCCTGAGGATCGGTCACTTCTATTCCGATATCTCCAACACCAGCACCTACAGGGGAAGAATATATTGTAAAAGGTTTAAAAAGCTGAACTCTAGGTAGATAATAAAAAAAAGACTCACCAATTCAGTTAAGTACTCATTAAAAAAGCATTGCATGTTTTTTTAAAATTAATTTAACTGGTCTAAGTACATTAATGTATTTTTATATTAGCTTCTTGTAGTCCTCTACACAACGGGCCTAGGAGAGGGAGGGACAGGCAGTTGGACTTAACTACAGTGCACAGATTTGTCAGTCTAACACAGGGAACTTTAGTTTTCTGTCCCAGGGTGACAAGGCTCACTCTGTATACCCCAAGCCAGGAAGTGTCTGGATTACAGAACCCATTTTACCTTTTTTCCCCATCTTTATAGGCAGGAGGCGTGCTCAGGGGAGTAACCACAAATCATGGGCTTCCATAGCAAAAGTTGGATGGGGACCCCCAGAGAACATCAGCTGCCTTCTTAGGTTTGAGCTTTTTAACCGAGGTGATGCGCTGGGATTTTTTACTGCTTCAGTAAGGCTGCATTAAAGGGTTATTAAACCCTCCAGTTTTTTTTGCATATATCTACTACTAGCAAGCAGTAGATATATGCAAAAAAAGTAAAAAAACAAACAAACCACCTTTTAAAAACAGGTTAAAACTTACCTGCGTCTTCGCCACGCGCTTTCTATGGAGCAGCGTGCACCCACACAGACTCCGTGGGACATCAGAGAAGAGGACAGAGGAGTTAGCGCTGGATCAGAGACCGGCACCAGTGCTGGAGGGACAGCTGAAAGGGGCAGTAAGGAAGAAGATGATCGAATGAAGAGGCATCATTTAAGGTAAGTCCTGACATTAACATTGGGTGGTGGTGGTGGTGGGGCGATAGCCTTTAATGTTACTTTAAGTGAGCAGGCTAAATTTCAGAGTGGCTGGACCGTAGTAGAAGTTCTGAGGGGGGAAAGAAACAAAAACGACATGACTCTCACCAAGATCCTGATGACTCCTCATAAGCTTTCTTCTAAACTGTGGACTTTACAGTTTTATTTGCCTCAGTGGTCTTCTTGATGCCCCTTTCCCCGCCACCACGATGAGGCCCTATAGCAGCTGGTGGGCTTCTATGCCTATAGTTATGCCACTAGATGTTCTGTAGAAGTAAACTGGACAGGGCTAAACACTGCTTGAGATGATGGACAAAACCTTATGAACTCAGAGAATTTCTGAAAGGATAGACATTTGTTTGTTGGCACTTGATCGAACTGATAAAATACTTTGATTGGTATACTTAACTGGCCAAGAAGGCAAATAAGAGAAGCCCATTGTTAGGGTTTACATAACTTTAATTCATACCATTGCAGCAATTGTAGCCTCAAGACAGCTGACAACTAGACGTTTTTACAATGGCATTCTATATATATTATAAAGTATATATTTCCCTCAGTAGAGGATTTCATTAACACCACAGTTGGCTCAGTCAGGTTAAATGTATTGATTAAAAAAAAGTCTAACATTTAAATTACAATATGTTAAAAATCAACATACAGTATAAATAAAAAGATGACATTTTAAGCTTAAAGTGCCTCTATGCGGAAACTATTCTGAAACACAGCATGTGACATTTCGCATGTCTCCCTGCTAAATGCTCTGATATGCCAGTTATGGTCCGGATAGTGATTGCACTGTATGAAACCTTGCCTGGAGTAATTAAATAAGCAAACAGCAACTCACAAGAGTTCTACTGTAGCCAATGAATTCTTAGGCAAATTCCAAAGGTTGAACTTCCTATATTAAAAAAAAGAGGGTGTGCAGATGTGATATCCAAACATTTAAGGTCTTTATTTTCTGAAATGTGTGCTCGGGGATAAATCTATAAATAACATCTCTGGTGAAAAAAACAAAAGATGAGAACTCTTGATAAAGAATTTAACTATGGAATTCTTGGATCCCCAGAGTATATTTAAAGCATTGCCATTTGGCAGGTTCAATAGACAATTAAAGTGTGTCTAGACCAAGAACAAAAATATCATATATTGCAGCTTATCGGTCATTTGCTGTGGTGCCTTAGTTTCTTTTTTGTAGGATTTCCCCCTTTATTTCTACTTGGTGATCCTGCCAGTAATACACGAAGGCAGCCTTTCTCAACCAGGGTGCCTTTTGTCTTCATCAGGGGTCGCTCAACATTTTTACACAGTGTCATGCCTCTGATGTGAAAAGGGCTTCTTATGTGATGAGGGCTCCTACAATGAAAGGGAGCTCCTATTGTAAAGGGGACTCTGAAATTAAAAGGGGTGGGAGGTCCTGATGTGAAGGGGCTGCCCTATTGTGAAGAGGGAATCCCACTTTTTTTATGTGTGTGCTTTTCTGTGGGGTCACCCCTTAACATCCATACCAAACCCTATTTTGGATCAGGTATGGGTTGGAGTCTGGTATAGATTTTGGAGAGACCACGTTATCTTTTACATTTACTCATATACAGTTTGTACAATTTTGATTTTAAAGGGTGCTGCGACTGAAAAAGAGTTGAGAAGCTGCATAGGGCGACAATGCTCACTGGCCGTACTCTATCTGCGGAGGAACAGCTTTGTCCCCCTAGGACAGAACTATGACTTCTTCCTTTCTTCTACAAAAAATTGGAGGGGGGCGCCATTTTGTAGTCCTTCGAGAGAAATGGGAACAATGTAACTGATATGAGTGCAGTGGAGGCACAGAGCACAGGAAGTTATCAACTCACAAGACTTCTAGCAAGATCAACAGGTATCGTTTGGATTAGAGATAAACAGACAAAATAATAGTATATTTACCAGATCAAAAGGAAGCAAACAAGAGAAGTATATTGTTTAGGTTTACATACACTGTAAATTCTAACTGCTAATCAGGAGAAATAGAAGAAAGCAGAAAACCATTCCCAATACTGAGCCTGGCCACTCTGTCAGTATCGATTATGGCGGTTAACCGTGATTTTACACACAAAAGCAGTTTATGTTTGCACAGTGCTCGACGTCAGTCTGCGGGGACACTGTGGTGTAGACACTGGAGGAAGCATCAGCAGCTTCCATCCTCAGTGCTCATAGAAGAAAGCGCACCAGTGTTTTGCTTGGCTCAGCAACGCTAGACGGTGCTCAGTGGAATAAGAACATCCTTTGTGTTTTTCTGTTCTAAAATTAGCAGCACAGGAGGAATTGGCTAATATTTCAAGCCAGGCTCTATTACCAAAGCAATCGTATTAGCTAAACAGAGGAGCGTGGAAAGACTAACACAAAGTGACATATGAGTGTAATTATACCCACACTAGGACATAAGTCATTTTCATTTTCTCCCTTGCAAAACTATAATGTTTAGGTATTAACACTACATGCATGGTATCATTACACACACACAGAATAATACCCAATACCAGACCACTTTCAAAGCATTTTACATTCTACAGCGTGCCCTGCGTTTTGGACAGAATTCATGGACAGAAAACATGTCTAACAGGTTAGATGAATACTGAAATATTTTGTAACACTAGGAACATTAAAGAGCAACTCTGGGCAACAACTGGCCTCACTCAAACTGAAACTGTGCAAGTAGAGCAAAATTATTTCACACAATGTAACATAATTGGGGTTTTATAAAATTTTGACCATGATCCATTGCTAAAGAGTAAAGTGTCTACATATGGGACTGCAGCCCCTTGCCAATTATTCCTGTGCAATATCCCTCCATAATCATAATGAACATACGTATTAAGATGCTACATATGTAGTACAACCCGTAGGACCTCAGGTGGCAGAGTTGGCAACTTTGAAATTCAGAGCTTTAGGAGACTGGATTATTGAAGACCATAGGGGAACACAGTATAATGGATCAGTACCGATATGAAAATTACAGGCACTGTACAGGAAGACTGTATCAAAGATCTACTTAGATGACAGTGTTTCAACTTAAATTGGAGTGTACTTGTCATGAGGGAAAGATAGATGGATGATGAAGACAGCAACTGTGAGAACAACAAATTATACGCACTTAAAAGGAGAACTATGGGTTGTCGGCCTAGAACTATGAGGTGAGTGAAAAGCACTCACCTCATAGTTCTCCTTTAATCTGCAGCTACAGTTCTGAAGATGATATGAACAGTTCAATACATTTTGATTAGCTTGTAGTTTAGGCTAATCCTCATTCACGTCCCCACCATTGTTTCCATGCTATGGGTAGTGACCAAATACAAATGGGGAAAACCAAGGTTTGGGTTCAAATTTCTAGGATGAACGTACAAAGTAATCCAGGGGCAATTTGATGTTTAGCAGATGCTTATTTGACTCAAGAGGGGTAATTATTATTATTACTACATAGTATTTATATAGCGCCAAACAGTTTGTGCAGCGCTTTACAATATAAGGAAGACATTACAGTTACAATACAATTCAAGACAAGATGGTAAAAGGGCCCTGCCCCTGAGGGCTTACAATCTAAAAGAGGAGGGGGAAATGATACATGAGGTAGCTGTGGGAATGAATTATGTGAGAATGTGAAGGTTCAGTGGTTAGGTTGAGGTGGGATAGGCTTCCCTGAAGAGATGAGTTTTTAGGGAACGCCTAAAGGCAGTCAAGGTGGGAGATAGACGGACAGGTTGGGGTAAGGAGTTCCAGAGGATGGGAGAGACTCTAGAGAAGTCCTGGAGGCGAGTATGGGAGGAGTGGACAAGGGAGCTGGAAAGCAGGAGGTCAATGGATGAGCGGAGGGGACGTTTAGGGTGATACTTTGAGACAAGGTCTGAGATATATCCGGGGGCAGAGTTGTGGATGAGAGTTGTGGTGCCTTGAGCAAGTTTCAGGGTTAATGCTTTACTTACGTTTGGATTTGCATAGAAGTCGGATCTCTACGTGTCTTTGAGGTTTTTTTTTTTAGAGTAGAAAATCATGTGTAATGCATTATGTGTCAGAGAAGCACTGTTGCTCTCTGTACGGAAGCAGTGGTCTCTCTGTAGTGTTCTATTCACAGCTAGAGCCCAGCAATCAACAAAGCTCTTGCATCTTGCTGTGACTAAGTGGGGGTGTAGCAGACCATATCAGAGAAATTGCTGCTTTCACACAGAGAGCATGGGTCCTTGTTTGCACCAAAGTATAGGACACATTGCTTTCCACTCTTCTTGGGGCTGCTTTACAAAGAAAAGTAATGCTAAGACACTGAAAACATAGACAGCATTTCCCTGCACACTAAAATTATATAAAGCATACGACCTAAAACTTCAACTGGGCTTGAATATTAAAGGTACTCCAAGAAAGTGCAAATGGGAGGCACCCTCAGGCAAACGCTAGGAAAAATACATGCCAGCCGCTAGGGAAGGAGATGAAAGATGAGTTGAGTTGCAATATTGTAAAGCTGTTACGAGGCCAGAAATTAGAAGGGTGTTACAAAGTGGCCAATGGCAGTATTTCTCTGGACTAAGCACCTTTTGGGGAAACACTCTTGCATAGTATACATAACAATAAAAATAATTCTGGAGCCATGCCACAACTTCAGAGCTTTGATAAACATACAAATAAGAGAGGAATTAAGAACAGAGCAATACACACCTGCAGTATAAATGTCGAAGTAAGTGGGTTTATTGGCATTGTTACCAGTTGCCTCCAATCCAGGGCCTTTAGCTGTCACTTTACTGGCGTCTCCCTGAGCCTTCTCAACATTCACTTCAAATGGGCTCTTTGAAATGTGCTGACCGGCAAAGAGCACAGTAACCTATAAAACACAACATAAAACACAAGGAGTTTGGGAAGCGTGCACGGCTCAGAAATGGGTTTAACTTGCAACAGATTCAAGTGTGGAGTGTTAAAAGATTGACACTGCCATAAAACTGGGGTGGGCCGATGCCTGTCTTGGCTTGTTAAGTGTTATAGTTCCCAAAATGAAGATCAGTTTAGCACCAAAGGCTTCCAGATAGATTACACATATTCATTTCTTTCAAGACGTGTCTGGGTCTATGATAAAATAACTTTTTATATACGTGGGAGAACCTTGAATCAAAGATGATCTTGTAAAAAAAAAAAAGTGATGTAATTCTGCAAAGTTGTCAGGCAGCCCATCTCACAAATGTCGACACACAGCAAAAAATGTAAAAGATGGCTTTGGGGAAGCCTTATGTCATGGCTGGACTGCCTGTGTCAACAACTTGTTAATGACATCAGCTTCACAACCTATATCTGCCGTGAGCCAAGTAAGTCTAAGCAGAGACTTCTAGGATGATGGATGGCTTATAAAATGACTTGGTTTTAGGGGGTCCTTCCGACCAAAATCACTTAAGATGCTGCTAAACCTTTTTAATACGGCAATGAGTAACGTACAAAGTACAAAAAACCTGGAGCAACCAATCAGAATCCACCACTCACTCGTCTGGTTCAGCTACTGAAAGTCATTCTTTACCATATTAAGAATCAAGAAGTGCAGAGGCTCCCGAAGACGGAGTGATTTTCTCATACAACCAGTTACAATCTGATTGGGAAACAATCCTATGTTTACAGGGCCTTAAGACATGACTTGAGTAAGTTCTAGAAGCACTCTTGGCAATATCAAATGTGCCAGAAACATACAAGAATGAAGTTTTGCTTTAACAAGTTCAAAGTTTGAAACCTTTAATGGAGAACTCCACTGATAATGTACATACTATGACTGCCACACCAACTATTCAATAATGTAATTTAGTTAAAGGTTTTTAGCAAAAATAAACACTGGCCAAAGACCAGACCATTACAGAGCGCTGCCCCCAAGGGACAAATCGTAGGTTTACCAAGCTGTAACGTTTGGGCAAGTGTACTTAAGAGAGATGGGATTAGTGTTAGTCAGTTCAAGAAGCAGTGCAACATCAATCTGAAGTTGAGTAATGTTTTAGAGGCATGTCCCTTTAATCCCTTTAAACCAGACCCTTAAAAGAAAAAGCTGTATGCATATTTTCAGACAAAAAGGTCCCTTAATCTGCTTAATGCTTACGTGGATGCCTAATGGGGATTTAATTACTGACATTATCGCTGGATCATGGATACTTAGTGTTTTTCAGCTGGTGCCAGGTTTTGTAGCATTCATCGCCAAGAAATTAGGTATATTTTTCTTTAGGCATTTTTATGCTACTCATTACTTGTGCAAATACTTCTAAACTGCTGAGCATGTCAACCACATGTTTCTTGTAACTCTCCATAAAAAACGTATTCTTTAAGCTAAGCAGAGTGACAAAGGTGTATACAGTATTTATAAAAGGTACTAATGATTGATTCACTGATCATCTACAACATTTTCGCTGTCAGACAACTGTTTAAAGACACGTTAATAAGGTCCATCTAATGGCCAGGTTCGTTGATGCAGCCGTCAGAGTGAGCCCATTTCACTGTTATTTACCATTTATCTCTTTTTCATACTCTTCATGGAGAAATTCCGGTCTTGGGTAACATTTATCGGCTTTGAATCCTGTCAGACATTCACCATTTTCAAATAGTAAACTTCTACAGAAGACCCACCGGCACTTGGCCGCTGGTGCACGTTTGACACCCAGGATTTTAGCAGACAGATCTTGCTTTATATGCTAGTACTGGAGGGATGAATTTCCTTTTATTACAAGAAAAGGGTGGTTTAAAAATGGGCTTTAAATGGCTCCTGAGTGTTCTAAAAACTATGATTTCATCCATCTAGGATCTTTTCTTTGGACAAAATTGTCTTTTTTTCCACACAAAAAACTACCAAAACACACCAAAGGTAAAACAAAAAACCAACAAACCTAAATACACACTCCCAGAACAAAAACACTCTAAATAAAAGCAAATAATACCAAGCAAATTTTGCCTAAGCATCTCAGTGAGCAAAAAGTCAGAATTTCTACTTTGCTAATGAAAAATGGGCAAAGTGATCCCTTAAGAAAATTCTTTGTGATAAAACCAGTGGTGGGAGGAGGGAGCCTGTGACATCACTTAGCTTGGTCACACCATCACCAGGGGATGGAATTAAAGCTTTCTGTGCAATTATAATGACAGAAAATGGCATGAGTCGCATGGGCCACACTAAAGAGGAACTTTGCCTATACTTTCAAAACAAAACAACAAAGACACATTTAGAAATATTTAGTAATGACAATCTACAAACGCATGCTTCTAAATAATTGCCAGCTTTTTAATCTTTGTATACCTTGTTTTTCTTTTCTTCTCCAGTCTTCTTCTAACACTTGCCATTTTAACTAAGGGCAGGTTACTAGATCTCCCTTTACGTCCTGAACTCTGGCACATGCGACTAGGACACGTGACAATGCACATCATCTCAGGGGAGGAAACTGCCTTTCCCTGAGATCTCGTGCGATTACATATGAGATTTCCCAGGAATGCTCTGCTGATGTAACCCTCCCAGGATGCAACACTTGGGCACATTACATCACTTTTGCCAAACCAGCAAGTAGATAACAAGAAGTTGTGAGAAAGATGAAAACATGTTTATTTAACTAGTGAATGTAAGATGATTTCATATTAGCATGCGGAGCTGCATGCTGCTGTGATTTTTAACAAAGCAGATAGTATTGTCCATCTGCGCCACCTACACTAGTTACTATTTCAGCGCAAATCAGACATTGGTGTGGATACCGAGCCTCATTAGCAAAGGAATTTTGACAGTTTTTAATATAGAAACCCTGCACTACTCTTCTAACCTGAGAAAAATAGAGTTAATTCCCACCCACAGAGCTTTCTGATGCTGGTAATAGTTATGCACCTGGATATGTGAATGTGTTAACTGTTTTATGTAGTTTTGTGTATATGAATAAATTGTGCTGATAATAAAAAAGAGCAACTTTTCCTACAATTATACCATGTTACATATATTGTCAGTACGGAATAGTAAAGATCAGAGGTAGGCAACCTCGGCACTCCAGCTGTTGTGGGACTACAAGTCCCACGAGGCACTGCAAGACTTTGCCAGCCAAAGGCATGAAGGTATTTGTAGTCTCTACACAGTGCCGAGGTTGCCTAACCCTGGTATAGATCAATAAAAATAATGAACGGCGTGTTTACCTTGTGCATACCAGTCACTTTGGGAAAGTACTCCACGGAGAAGGTCTTGTTCTTGTCATTGTTGCCTGTGACCTTGGCCTTCACAAAGACAAGCACAGGTTAATAGCTAAACTGGTAAGCGGCATTATTAGAATACTGTACATATTTGGCATAACTGCTACCCTGCAACACAATTACATCACTGAAAAAAAAGACAGCTGGGTTTTTTTCATTAAAACATAATACAGGCTGACAGAAGAGTTAGCGGTGGGAGGAGAAGTGGGGCCATTCAATTTCCTTGCACAAGTATCTATGAGCAAACCACAAAGAATACTTTTTAGTGGTCAGGTTATTAACATTCCTTGCAAATGCGTTGCTAAAGGTTACAGCACATACTTTGAGCATTGCTCTTCACCTAATTAAATAAGCCTGTATACATTGCAGTATGTATAAACTGTGACATTTACATGGCAAGCTACTTCTTGCTTCTACATGCCAAACACACTGGGGACATTTATCAATTCTACTGCATGGCAAACCAGTGCTAAAGGAAGGGGGATGCAGTGAGACAATTTGTGAGACAGATTTATTACAAGGTTACATAAGGAGTCATAAGTTCTTTGCTTAGCTGCTCTTTAGTAGCACTATGACAGAATAAAAACTGACCCTGACCACATCTTAATTATGCGACTGTTTACACTGAAAATCTGTCTCATCTTCAGTAATAAATCTGTCCTAAAACTTAGCAAACTGTCACATTTGGCTGCCTAGGGATACAAACACACAGACCTGTAAACCTGTCCCAGAGACTTTTCTGAAGGCGAGGCAGTCTGATTTCCCACTAATTGTGTTGCTAATGTGTTTGATAAGTGTCCTCCATTGAGACACTCCACCCAGCCATCCCATTCCTTCCTCATGCCCTACCCAAATCCAACCATATGACCTCTTCTAACCCTCTTCACACCCAAAAGTAATCTGAACCACAGTCTTGACTACGGAAAATCATATTTCCAATGACCTTTGAGGCTTGCACTGCCTGCTTGCAGACGTCGCAAGGTTGGAAGTTGGAACCCCTTCCTTTTCTTTATTTTTTTCTGTTTGAAGTCAGTTGAATGCTAAATCCTTTGGTGTTCGCTATATGCACATTTGTACTGTGTAACTATGGGTCAATTTTAGACCATGTTAAACATAAAGTTAATACATCTACTGAACCAAAAAAAGTATATGTATTATTGTGGATTTTATAATGGCCATTTATACCTTTCTTCATGTATTGTTAAATACAACCATCTCTGCAAGTGGATGCTAGATATTGCATCTGGTTCCCTTCCAGTAAGCAATAATGTTGCTTGACAAGTACCATTAAATATAGACATTAACTTAATAAGCAACTGTGAACAATAGAACAAGCATTCCACTGTTTCTAACAACTGTAAAAGCAAGGTAGAATCCCAAGCAGAAATACAGATGTGTGATCTGAGTGCAGCCCAGAGTGATCTGGAATATACTTCAGAAAGTTATGACAAACTGCATACAGCTTTGACACAACACATCTGCCATGACATTTTCTTTACAAGACTTCCATGTGAAGCCCAAGAACACCAACCTCTTCTCTCAATCCTTCAGGGTCCTCCACAAAGACAAGGACCTCCCCTTGTCCAGCGCTGATGGTTTCCACAGTGAATGGTGCGGGTCTTTTCACCATGTTCCCAGTTGGCTCAACACCTGTAAAAATATTAAATATAAATACACTTTGGTCATGGACGTCATAGAACATTGGCACTCTCCACTTTTTTGCTATGAGACAAAACACACACAAAGAATGTGCAGCGAGATGTGAATGAAAGGGTAGAACATTTGACAACCTTCCTAATTCTGCTTTAGTTTTGGCTTTTTTTCTATTAGTGGAGCTTTTCTGAAGAAGACAAGCAGGACAGTGACCGAGCACCTTCTAGCAGTATGGTACCATATATAATTGCACTTATCTCACCCCCAGCACATTCAGTATAGGTTTTACTTGCCTACAAACTGGCCTTTCCAAAACCGTCACTGGGTGGTCTGCCCTGTGCCACTGACCATCTATGATGGGGGCTGTGGGTCATTTGGGGGGTGTTTGTAATGTCCTAGAATTTTCATTTGATATGTTTAAACAGGAAGCAATGGAACCAATTTTTTCAAAAATGTTTAGTCTTTTTTTCCTTTATATAGTGAAATATAAAAACCCCAGTGGTTATTAAATACCATCAAAAGAAAGCTCTGTCCAACTCAAAAAATTATATAACATTTATTTGCATACAGTTGTATTACCAAAGTAATTGTGAGTCAAAATGTCACAGCACTGAAAACTGAACAATGGCGGAGACAGGAAAAGGGTGCAACATGATGGTATTGAGGTGGTTAATAACGAAAAATAAAACTTTAAAGAGGGCAATACCTACCTTCTCTACCCTCCTTATCGGAGGCATATTAGTTTAAAACCTCAGTGGCATACCTAGTGCATAAAATGTTTTTAAACCCTACACCCCCCGCCCCCCTCCTAATTGTTAAGATTATTGCTACTAAAAATCATGTAATGTAATGTAATGAATACATCCAAAAATCAAATGCAGAAAGTTCAGCAGTCAAGTGTATGTAATGAACAGCACAGGTAACGGAGTACAGAGGACAGATCAACACCTGGGGTATGCATTGTGCACAATAGTCATTGTATTGGCCCCTTACGTTGGTCAGCAGGGAAGTGGCCCTTTGCACTGGCGGTCAGCGGGGAAGTGGCCCTTTGCACTGGCGGTCAGCGGGGAAGTGGCCCTTTGCACTGGCGGTCAATGAATGAACATCCCCTTACAATTGTGATGAGTAAAGTAGTAGCCCCTTACATTGATGGTCACTGGAGATTTAGCCCTTTACACTGGTCATTGAAGAACAACCTATATTTGTGGTCAATAGTAAATTGCCTCTTTATATTGGTGGTTAGTGGGAGCTCAGCTAAATACATTATGGGTGTCACACTATACTGCTCCCACACTGCTTTTGGTGGCTCTGCTGAGTGCTATCCCTGACTTTATTAATGACATTCCTTCGAATGGTTCATAAATCATCTACGTAAGCTCTACACCCCAGGTCAGACTGCTTCTACCATACTACATTGTTTCCCACCCAGTGTGCCACGGTTACTCCTCATGAATGACAGAATATGACTGCTTGGTGGTCAGACCATTTGCAAACACGGGATCATTGTGAAATGTTAGCTATACACTTTAGAACACAGCAGAATGGCGTGCTTTCAAGCTACATAGTGGTAAAAAGGTGGTATAGCATGCAATTTTACAAAGAAACGTAGATCCTTATATAACCCAACATTACAAGCAGCCTAGTCACCAAAATAAAAATCTCCCCTTATATATTTTCTCACTAGGGCTTAGCAGCAATGGGTGTGCTAATGAAATGTTTCACACCGTTCTGTCACCACGCCTGTGTCTTTGCAGGATAAAAATGTCTCCTTAGGATTAGAGTGATCATGAAGCTCTCCAATATAAGATGATAATTTGCGTGTTTACTCAAAACGAACATAATACATGAACATGACAGAGCAGCACATAAATCTAGTCTGCAAGGGCTGTATTTACCAGTAAGTACTTAATTGGATATATCAATAGCTAAAGAAAACAATGCTACTGGCTTCATTACTTTCATAAAAAGGATTTGGCAAAGTATTGCATAATTTTTTTTTTTTTTTTTTTTTTAAAGCCCCAAAAACATGCAACTATTACAATCACATTTGCTGTTAGGAACCATGACGTGCCTTAAAATAAGTCTACACCCCTTACAGCATATTATAGCATTAATCACACGCTAAGAATCAATGTAGGCACATAGGGGTCTGTTTATAAACAAAGCAGTAAAAGAAAATGGCAACCAAAGTTTAGATACTGCCACCAGTGAACAGGTTTCTTCTTTCATTCCCTGCAACAATTAGACTGGGAATCGGCACAAATTGTCGGCATTATATAAATTCTGGATAATAATAATAATGTTATTACTCTTTTTCCCTTTTCTTTTCTACAGATTATTAACATAAATATGGTGACTAAGAAGAAGAGTCACCTTTATTCAAATGTGCTTGCAAATTTAAACTCAAGCAAATAAAATCTCTAAACAGGCCTTTCTCAACAGAGCAGCTAGGCATAGGCCGGTAAACATGTGAAAAAGGTACCTAGAGTTACATCTGCTTAAAAAATAAATGTACTAAAATTAGGGATGCATGGAAACCGTACTCGTACTCGCCCAAATGCTCCGATACCTAGCCCGATACTTGAGTTTCTGATTGCGACGAGGGAGCATGGAGTCAGCTTCCCGGCCTATCAGGACGCCGGGCAGCGTATATTGACTCGCTGCACAGCTTCTTGATTGGTCAGGAAGCTGGTCAATCAGGAAGCCGGGTGCCGTGTAATGACGTGGCGCCTGGCTTTCTAAATGGCTGGGAAGCCGGCTTCATGCCCCCTTGTCACCTAGTGATGAGAATCATGGAGATGACTTCCCAGCTAATCGGGAAGCCAGGAACCGCGTCATTACACGGCACCCGGCTTCCTGATTGGCCAGCTTCCCGACCAACCAAGAAGCCGGGCAGCGAGTCATTACACGGTATTGGCGAGTACCGGAAAACAAATACAGTACTCGATACCAAAAAAACGGTATCAGTGCATCCCTAACAAAAATACTATGGGGTATATTTATAAAAGAGTGAATGCAACATTCACTGCAGGTACATCTTGCTGGTACATGTGTTTCAAACTCCAGTGACTGATTCGCCTGCAGTGAATGTCACAGC